TCGCAAGAGTGACCGGCGGCATTAAAACAGAGATTCCGGTAACGATTATGCACAGGAGAGTCGTTGGAACAGTTAAAAAGTGCGAAAACGGTGTCGTACGAAGGTCTAATAAGAGCGTTTTGAATATCCGCCATTTTGAAATCGTGGTGAGGCTGAAGAATCGAGCAAGTAGACATCGCCGGATCGAAGATTACCATAGTTTTCTTCTCGTAATCGATGCTCTGGACCTTGTAGCTGCCGGAAGGAGTGGTGAAAAATAGATCGGTGGAGCAATTGAACATTCCTTTGAACTGAGGAGATCCGCAACCGCCGTCGATGCCGAATGGGTAGTTTATTGGGATGTTGCCGCATAATGTTCGGCATGATGTTGCTGCTGACGTTGTTAATGGCGGAAATGTTAGGGTTGTGATTGTGTAGAGGAAGGAGAAGAAGAAGAAGAGCTTCTTCATTGTTGTTTTCTTTTTCTCTTGCTGTGTAAAATCTCTCTTTCCCTTTCTATCTCTAAAGGGTTTATCATGGAAATTTAAATTTTAAATTAAATTAAACCTCGTTATGGTATATTTGTTAATTTATTATCCTAAAAATAGTTTTATGTATGCATAGATTTGGAATATTATCTTGAAATTGTTTTTCCTTCTACTTCCTTGTTTTGTGATGTACTATTTTTTAGTGATTTTTTCCTTAATTTGTTTGTCAAATAGTCAAAATTTATAATATATATTGAAAAATTACTAGTACTTTGTTTTTTGTTAATTGAAAAATACTACATGTTATTATGCTGCCCCGGCCCACGCATTATTGGATACGCTCTAGTGGATTCTATGATATTATTACATCCCCTGTTCTAAAAATCCCCGCCTAGACCCGATTACTCCCCGCTTAATCGCTAGGCCCACCCTATCCGCCTCGATTAATGACTAATCCCTTAAAGAAATCAGTCACCCGATTACTCTCCGCCTAATCCGATTACTTCCCGCCTAATCCGATTATTCCCCGCCTAATCCGATTATTCCCCGTCTAATCTTACATACCCCGATTATTTTTTAAATTGCTAGTATAAAAAAACTTTTTATTTTTGTTATTCAATCATTTAAATTGGGAGTTTATGTTCAAATTTTAATAAAAATCATAAATTTGTAATAAAAATCATAAAATTTGTCTCAAAAATACATTTTTATGTGTTTACTGCAATTTTGAAAATAATATTAGATTAATATGTTTTAAAAATATTAAAATAACCCTAAAACTAATCCCCGATTAATCCCCGATTTTAATCCGATTTTCCGATTAATCGCTAGGCCCATGCCGAGCGCCCGACTAGCGCCTAGCGATTTTTCAAACAAGGATTACATCATACATAGTGGATTCTACATTTCGACTTCATCAATCTGTTTTTTTTTTTCCATCAACAGAATTCATGAAAACAAAACAACATAATTGAAAAGCATTTACATATATGTCTCCTTCATCAATCTATTTATACACATGTCTTTTTCCTATTGGGTTAAACTTTTACAACAAATATTTTTTATTAAATACTATTAAAATTATTATTTTTAATTGCCAAAAGGGTCTTTTCCCCAAAAAAAAAAAAAAAAAATTGCCAAAAGAGTCTCTAACAATTGTAGATGCTCTAAATAATATGGGAGAAATATACAAGAGATTACTAAGACAACTAACAAAATTAAAGAATATGTGTACATATGTAGAAAGTCTTAACCTAATAGTTTTTGGGAAATTGTTAAAAATGCCCCTTTTGGTGTGCCCCTTTTCAAAAATGTCCTTTTTAGATGTTCATTTTCAAAAATGCCCTTTTTTAAATCTGAAATTTTTTAAAAGTTTTATTAGGTTTATAAGGTACTTATGGATTGTAACTACTACTTGAAGACTCGATCCAAGTATTTATAAGGTTTTATAAGGTGTTTTTAAAGGTTTTACAAGTTATTTTAAAGGATTTTTAAAGTTTTTCAAAGGTTTTACAAGATATTTTAAAGGTTTTTAAAGGTATTTAAAATGCATTTATAAGGTATTTATAAAGTATTTATAAGATTTTAGATACATAGAAATGTAGTTTGTGTATGTTTTAATAATATTACATACATATTTGGGTAAATCTTATATTTTTAAGAGCATTTTTATAAGATTTTAAAAAGGGGGTATTTTTAAAAAGTGGTATTGAAAAAGGGTATTTTTGCAAAAGCCCCATAGTTTTTACTTTTACGACTGCGTCATTGTTTTTACGGTATAGATTCAAAAAAAAAAAACCTTGATGGCAAATGTGATTAGTAAAAAAACAAACAAAACAAAATTTGAATTTAAATCAAAGTGGATAAGTATTAGGTTGCAGTGATCACACCGTAAAAACAATGACGCATACACACGTAAAAAGTAAAGCCTATTCTATTAGGTTAGGACTTCCTCTATAAATTTTTTTTTTTTCTTCCTCTATAAATATGTTCTCTGGTGTTTGATAGCTAATCTCTCTATTTCGTTTCTTCTTCCCATATATATTAATTTGCGTAATTGTATAATGATTTTCAATCCATGTGTTGATTCACAGGAAATCTAGAGTCGGCGTTCTTCTTCCTCTCTCCCTCGTGAGGATACTTCATCTTTCATTTATACATATGTTGCAAAGGCATAAACATGAAATCAATGAAATTTGTATTTAAATATAAGTTGCAAATGAGACATACCATAAGGTTAAAAAGAAGATTACAGCTGATTGAAAAATTTCAACCAATTTCATCTACATGATTAAGCTTTTATAAAATATGAAAGAAAAAAATGAAAAAAATAAATAAAAATTTGAGCAAAACATAAGCAAAAATTAAGTATAATTCAATTTGTTTTATAACCAAATAATTAATTAGTCATTTTAAAATGATATCGTAAATAGTTATAAATAAAAATATAAACACACAAAACATCATTACTATTATTTCTTATCGTTTTGTACGTACATAAGCGTTGATTACAAATTGTGACAACATATATAATCACAATGAGAATGGAAAAAACAATTATTTGCTATCTGGATTCCATATATGGTTTTGAAAGAAGAGACAACTAAAAAGGATCGTTGAGTAGATAGTAGTGAAATGATTCTTGAACGGTAATTAATTTTATTGTGTGATCCACATCCGCGATTTAACTCAAGAAACACAACTATTACTATGCCTTAAGAGTTAAGGCCCTTAACTAGTGTAGTTAAGCAATGAAAATGGAAAAAACCAAAAGCAAATTACTTGCTAAATGGATTCAGGAAGAGAAAATTAAAAAGGATTGCCGAGTAGATGGTGAAATAATTCTTGCACGGTAACTAAGATGAAACCCCCATTTTTCCCAAAGAAATGTGCTTATATAAACCACACACACCACAACACAATAACTCATTTATCTTAAAAACACAACTTACAAAAGAAAGCTCTCCAAATTGATCAAGTACGCTCTCGAGGTTGTAGGTAATGTACAATACTTTGTCTTTACTTTCTTTTTCCCCTTTCTTTTATACTTACTATTTGGTTTAGGGGTTTGTTTAGGGCAACTCATAACTTATGCGTACATCGGATTCATCAAATATACTACTAAATAGAGGCTACCCTACACTACTAAAAATTATTTTGTGTAATAATTCAACCTTTTTTAAACAAGAGTACTAGTGCTGATAAACCAACAAATAATCATAAATATGATACTTTCTGAAAAATCTTTAAATATGCTTATATTACAAGGAAATTTAACATTTTTTATTATTATTTTTAAATTTTTTATTTTTTTTGGACAAAAGGAAATTTAACATGTACAGTATGTCTTTGTCGATCCAAAGATGTCAAAAAAAAAAAAAAACATGTACAATATGTTGTTTTCTTCTATCCCTTAATTGTGAGTTAGTTAGACTTTTCCTTTGTTTTTAGCTAAACTGATAAATATTTGCCAAAACATTTTGGAGCCGGTGACCAAAAACATTATTGTAACTTTGGGGCCATATTTAATTTTTTTATGGAATACTGAGTAATTAATTATTATAATTAGAGATTATTAAACTGTTGGTTCAGTTAATTAAGCATAATGTGAGAGGCACCAAACGAAGAAAAACCAACACCCAAATAATATTTCGACAAATATAAAAGCAAAATTAAGATAATTTAACCCCAATGAAGTTTTTTTAAAAAGGTGAGAAACCCCAACATATGAAGTTGAGGTATGTCATCGACTCATCGTCCGGCTCCGGAGACCATCTCATAATTAATTCAAGTAAGGCAGTGATCAAGTAGATGACGGAATATAAAACAACTTTGCCTAGCTGGTAGTGGTAGATATCAAAACCAAATGTACCCAAAACTTGCAAAATTAGCAAAGCGTATGCTGCCATGAGTATAAAATTTATGACTACAGAGTAGACCAATCCTGATGTCACTCTAGTCATTATTTATCCAAAATTTAGACATTTTTGCATTAAAATTAAATGAAAAAATTCCCTCTTCTATATATATAATTATACTGATGAGTTAATGCATATAAAGTAACCTGAATTATTCCCGCCACTGATGTCCCTCAATTTCATTAGTAAATAAAAAAAGCTTGGAGGGAAATAAATGAAAAAGCAACAAGAAAAAAAAAACACAATGTTCGTCGGCGACGACGACTCAATTCAGTATGTTCGACTTCTTGACCAGACGCTTACTTCCATTGATGGCGTTGCAGACCGCGGGGTGACGGATGCTTTGGATCGACTTTCTACGGAGCTCTCTTATCGTCTTCTCTCCATCGGTATAATCTTGAAAATTTGCAAAAAAACTAACTGGTAGGCGGTAGCTAATAATTAAGAGATGATGACATATGTATCGTTTTGAGTTTAGTTTCCAGTCTAATTAAATGATGTTCGTTGCTATACTCATCTGGATTTTTATTAGACTGAGATTCGATAGAGTTTGATTAAGATTTTTGGTTTATGAATAATAATTTGTAAAATATTCTATAATAGTTTTACTTACGTAGAATAAATCTCAAATCTATATATAGTAGATCTTTTGAATTAGACATTAATGATGCATAATTTAATCAGAAATTACAAAGACACTGATTTTTGAACTGGTAGTTCAAATGCGAAGAGACACCAAACAAAGAAAAACCAACATCCAAATAATATTTCGACAAATAAGAAAACAAAATCCAGATAATTTAATGCTAACGTGGATGTACAAACATACAATATTCCAAGATATGAACGGCAGGTATGCAATCGTCCGGCAGCGGCCAATAGCGTCTTATAAATAATTCAAATAAGCCACACAACAAGTAAGAGAAGAAACCGTAAAGAACGTTCATAAGCTCGTCGTGATCAAAACCATATGTACGCAATACTTGCAAAAATAGCAAAGCGAATGCGGTCACGAATACAGAATGTATGACTATTGGGTAGACTAATCCTGACGTCACCCTGTCATTAGTTTTAACCAAAAGTTTAGACATTCTTTCATTAAAACGAAAAATTTGTTTCTTATGTTGATAGTTATTACGTGAAAAAAGAAAACACTCACATGCGCAAAAATCCACATGTACGTATCCACATGCTTTCTTTTTCAATCAAGGTATCATTCAAGGTGTTCTCCTTCTCCATCTACAAAAGCAAGATCCATAGTATTAAATTATACTTAAACTAAAGGGTCTAAATTAAATTACTACATATATATATAAAACATATTTTTTGTTGATTCTTAAATGCAGCAAAAGATTTAGGCGGCCAAGAATGTTTCCTATCAGATGTTTAATTCCATATCATTAATAATAAAAACGTGAAAAGGCCAGATAAGCACGATCAATAGCGGACCCAGAATATTTTTTCAGCCAGGTCAAACATAACTAAAAATAAAAAAAATTGATGGGCTAAATACATTTTTTCCTCATAACTATAATTAAAATTTTGAAATATGGGGAGGTCAGCTGCCACCCCTTTCATGAACGTAGGTCCGCCAGTGAGCACGATATAGCTTGAATTATCACAATGATCAGACTGATCACAATGAATTCTAACCATTAAGCGGGTATAGAGATTTTGTCTTGTGATGACAATATGTATGTATCCATTGATTTTCACTAAACATAATTAAATAACTTCTATCCTCGACTCTACTTTAAATAATATATAGCTTGAGCAAAAAAAACATAAGTTCAGAACTGCCGGCAAGAACTTGACGACAACAACAATACCTTGTTAAGCCCTTGTCAACTCTTCACTTTGATCTCTCCAAATTATGTAAAAAGATGATACGCATTACACATATATACACATATACAATGTCTACTTTAGTTAAATACCTTTATTATCATTAAATAAAGAATTAAATTTAAGAAATAGGTAAAGATATTTATTGATTGCAAATACATTGAAATTAAACTTTTAAATGGATTTTGATGATAACAAATTAAATTTTGATGGATCTTACAAAATATTCTCAACTACAGTTGTATGCTTTAAATTATAAAGTCACTTTTTTTTTTTAATCTTATTATTAATTAAGTAAACTCTTACACGTGTTCATTAGTACAATACTAAAGTGTTTATAAACACAATTTTTGAATTTAATTTCAAGATCTCAAATTTTTAAAATAAATGTATTGGTTGCCAATACATTGAAATTCATTACATTTAAAAAATTACACTTGGATGGATCTAAAAATAAAATTATTGGCTAGATCAGTTGAATGCTTTAAATTATAAAGTAACTTTGTATTATACATTTATACTCCTTTGCGAAGTGAATTGAATTCTTTGCATTATAATGTATTATGTAGACTTTTGTACGTGTTCGATAGTTAATTGACGTACGTATTTATATAACATAACTTTGGAATTTCTTTTTTAAAAGTTAGTTTTTCAAATTAAGTAAAAATAGGTAGAAAGAAAACTTGTGCTGTCAAAAAAAAAATAGGTAGAAAGAAAACTTGTATATATAATGTCTATAGTTAAAAATCTTCATTATAAATTAGAAATGAACAAGTTATATAATAATAAATAAAGAAATAAATTATATTGGAATTCATTGCATTTTAATGGAATATAAAAATATATATATATATTTAAAAAAAAAAAAAATTTGGTTAGATTTCAGAAAATTTTCATTGACTAGAGCTGGATATGCTTTCAAGTTTAAATTATAGGCATTTGTTTTTTTATTTTATTAAAGTTGTTGTCATTATTTAATTTTTCTGTCAACCAAATTCTTGTCATTTTATATTTGGTGTCATTACATAAAAGAAGCTACAGAGACTCAACATGGAAAGGGCAAAGCACCTGACCAACCGTATCAATTAGCAGGTCTACAAAACAATCTATGCTCTTACATACAATGAATTACATGCCAATTATCACCAATTGGAGATTTCATATATACAACATATTTTTTGTCCACAGAGAAAGGATCAAAACCTAACAATAGGAAAAGATTTTAAATAAATGAGACAACGTAATTGTTGGAATAATTTACATCATGAGTGGTAATAATGCTGTGATAACATATATCACTACGAATATAATGTATGTTAAACTAGCTAATACATATATCTTTAATAACTACATCGTGTAGAGAAGCTAACCAAGACAATGATCATTACACATTAAGGTTTTTGGGGTTGATTTTGCTAACTACCCCAAAGTTTTTTTTTTTTTGGGTCAAACTGATAATTTTCATTGAAATTAAGTTTCAAACTCACTCAGAGGAGGAGGAATTACAACCCAAATAAAAGGAAAATATAAGATAACAAGGCAGGAAGTGCCTAGAAATACTCTAAGAGAAGATACACGGGATAAATGCAAGACACATCTTTACAAAAGAAGCCAAACGAGATCGAAACGCGACGATCCAAAAGACTTCATGAGAGACTGCATCCAGTGTAACCCAAAGGGTTACAAGCTCCGCAACAAGGGCAGAGGAAGCTAACAACCGGGAAGAAGATCCTTGCAATACCGGAAACGCTTGATCGTCCAAACCACTCCAAATAAGAAGGACTTTAAACTACCCCAAAGTTTAGACTCCAAATTTTTCGACTACTATACACAACACAAACTAATTGTTATATTCTTCGTAGTCTTCGGTATCGAACCAACACTTGTCAAAGTCTCCAAAATTCAACAAAACTTATTTTTTCTTCTTCTTCCCTAATACATAATATAAAGAAACCTGAATTATTCCCGCCACTGATGTCCCTCAATTTCATCAGTAAATAAAAAAGCTTGGAGGGAAGAAAATGAAAAAGCAACAAGAAAAAAAAAAAAAAGAAACGCAATGTTCGTCGGCGACGACGACTCAGTTCAGATTGTTCGGCTTCTTGACCAGACGCTTACTTCCATTGATGGCGTTGCAGTCCGCGAGGCGACGGAGGCTCTGGATCGACTTTCTACGGAGCTCCCTCACTTCCCATATCGTCTTCTCTCCCTCGCTTCCGGCAAGCTTTCAATTTTTTCTTTTTTTGTTGTCTACCCGATTTTACTTTCCTCGAACTGATTTTGACGCATTGAATTCTGAAGAAGAGTTGTGATTTTGATTTCCTCAATTAGGGTTACGTTGGTTGACTTCACAGTCGTAACGATTTCACGAAATCTGTTAAGAGTTATGATTTGGTTTATGACTTTCTGAGTAAAGAACCCAAGCCCAAGCGTTTTATTCTTGTTTGCTTTGCTTCTAGTTCATTCTCATCCGTTGTGTCCATGAATTTTGCATAAGATATCCAAATTGAGCTGCCCTTTTGGCCGTAGCATAGGATTTTTCAGTGTGCTGGAGTTTGATAATCGTGGAGGTAGTTTCTTGAAGAGTATTAAATGCTTAGCAATATTTTTTGATTCAGCTGATACAAAACCTATACATGATTGAACTAAATCGGCTGAGTCTTTTGGTTCTATCAATCGCTGTTGAATGAGGGCTAGTTCAATTTTTTTTCTGGTTGACAGGAGGTGAAAATTCCAGCCTGAGAGTTGCTGCTGCAACATATCTGAAGAATTTTACCAGAAGGAGGACTGGGATTGAAGGGATAATCTCAGAAGCCAGCAAGGACTTTAAGGATCAGCTGCTCCTAGCTTTGCTTCAGGCAGAGCCTGCACTTCTTAAAGTTTTACTTGAACTGGTAGGCATATTCAACAAGCTTATTATGTTCATTTAGTTGTTGCAAATCTTATTATAAATCCCTTCTTCCTGTAAATTTTAATTTTGTGCAAACCTTCATTTTACTTCAATTGTGGGCAGCTCCACATTGTTGTCATTTCAGAATATGTGAAGAAAAATGCATGGCCTGAACTTGTACCGGAGCTCCGCTCTGCTATCGAGAACAGTAGATTAATTAGCAGATCAAACTCTAGCTGGAGTACTGTGAACGCTCTGATGGTATTGCTTACCGTTGTAAAGCCTTTTCAGGTATTTGTAACATTCTCTTTCGTAAGGAAAAAAATATTTTATATCTCTCTCTCTCTCTTCCATCAGCGCTCCTCTACTGCACCCCGTTTTCCATCATATTATGGTTGATCATCCCTTATTTTGGTTGTGAACTTTTGTTGCTTCTGGCTGCAAATTTAAGAGTATTAACTACTCCAAATAAATCTGAAACATGTGTATTTTGAAGGGGTGGTTCTCTGTTGAACCGGGTCCATTGTGGTCTATTAGAATGAGGCTGGCTTATTTTTGTCTGTTTGCTCTGCAGTACTTCCTGCAACCAAAACTTGCAAAGGAGCCAGTACCACAACAGCTAGAGAGTATCACGAAAGAAATTCTAGTACCCTTGGTGTCAGTATTACATCGTCTCATTGACAAGGTTATCCTTTTCTCTTAGTTTTTTCTCGTTCTTCATCTGCTCACAAGTTTATGTAAGATACATCTGCTCTTTGGATCTCGATGAGTATTCATATCTGGTATGATTCTGAAGCAGGCTTTGACTACCCATGGATGGGATGAACTGGAATTGGAAAAGACACTCCACATTATTTGCAAATGCCTATACTTTTCAGTAAGTCATACCTTCAGTTTATATTGCAGATACACGAAGTTTCAGAACTGTTATTGCATGTCTGGGTGATTGAAAATTGCCATTGATTATTACACTTAATTTATCATTTTTCATTTCATGTTCATGTTGTGCTATCTACTGTGGTTGTTTTGTTAAGGGTGTTTTGTGTTGTAGGTGAAGTCTCATATGCCATCTGCTTTGTCACCTCTGCTCGATTCCTTCTGTCGAGATATGATCCGAATTCTGGACTCCTTGAGTTTTGACTGGAGTGTAACTCCTTCTGATGGGTACTTGATAAGGTCGAAAGCTGGAAAAAGAAGTTTGCTCCTCTTTGGCACACTCGTCAGCAGACATAGAAAATACTCTGACAAGTATGCGAACACCTTAAGATCCTCTTAGCAATGCTTATTTCCCACACCTAATATATTTGATTTATGCAGATTGGTGCCGGAGATAGTAAACTGCTCAATGAAGATTGTCAAACATAGCTCAAACATCAGTGTATGTATGTTTAGCAATTTCTTTTTTTTAATTTGTTACTACAAAAATTACTGCTTCCATCAAAATGTTACTATCTTCTTAATCTAATGCTATGAGGGCCTACTATCATGTGCAGAAGCTCGGATGCCTAACTGAGAGAATTATATCACTTGCTTTTGATGTAATTTCACGCGTCATGGAAATTGGCCCTGTAAGTTGTTAGAATATTTACAGCAAATATATATAGATTTATCAAATGTTTATGAAAGCAAATTTTGGTACCTTGTAAACAGGGATGGAGATTACTTTCACCCCATTTTTCCTTTTTGTTGGACTTCGCAATCTTTCCAGCCCTGGTGCTTAATGAGAGGGTACGCTTTCCTAAAATTGTAATCTGTGTTGCAAGCATTGCTTACTACCATTATTTCAAAAACTTTAGTGGTCTTTCTGGGTTGCTTTTGCAAGTAGGACATCTCTGAGTGGGAAGAAGATGCAGATGAATTCATAAGGAAAAACCTTCCATCTGAACTAGTATGGAAACTTACTCTATCTCTCTCTACACGGATTAATTTTTTGTCTATGGTCCAGAAGTTAGGACATAATAGCACTTTCGTTTGGCAGGAAGAAATTTCTGGGTGGAGGGATGACTTGTTTACAGCGAGGAAAAGCGCTATGAACTTACTTGGTGTCCTTGCCATGTCAAAGGTGAAGAAACTATAGTTGTTCATTTACCTATTTCAGCTATTTGTTCATAGGTTGTGATCCAATTCTCATAGGGACCACCAGTATCTACTACAAATAAAGCTTCCTCAGCAGCATGTAAGCGGAAGAAAGGTGAAAAGAACAGAGGAAATAACCAAAGATGCATGGGAGATCTACTGGTGCTTCCATTTTTGTCAAAATTTTATGTGCCTTCTAAGAGTAACAAACTGGATGCTAGTACTTCAGCAGCGTGAGTTCTATACATTTTCATGACTTCTGATTCTAACTCACTGAAATTCTTGGCAGATGCCTAAACCAAATAAAAATGCTTTTGCAAGCTCTGAGCAGTGTGGTCATGTTTGTTTGACGTAGTGAGTAATGTTAAGTTAAATGCTTGCAGTGGGTATTAGAAAATATGTTCTTGTAATGGAACTTTAAAAACTCGTTTTGCAAGCTCGTGATCAACTTGTCGTAGACAACTATTTAACATTTTGAAAATCTAATATCGGGTTGGAAGTGCTTCTTGTTTACTGTTCTCTTTCACTTTAGTATATCTTGTTTCATTTCCTTTTACTTTGTTATTAAGCTGACTTTGTTGCTACGTCGACATTTCAGCTATTTCGGTGTCCTAATGGCATATGGTAGCCTGCAAGAGGTGAGCAAATCTGGTTCTCTTTGTTTTGCAATTAAGCATTGACTGATATAGTACATAGAATTACGGTGGCTCCCTTTTTCCGGCAGTTTATCCAAGAACAAAATCCTGAGTATGTGGCATCTTTTGTCCGTACCCGTGTGCTACCGATTTATTCTACACCTGATTGCTCACCTTACTTGGTTGCATCTGCAAACTGGGTACTTGGAGAGCTTGCGTCTTGCCTACCTGAGGTGTAAATTTTTTTACTTATTCTTCTTGATGCTGTAAATCACCAAAATATTTATATTTATTAAAACCATTTGCTGGGATATGATATATTTTAGTCACTGATTAAAATTTGTAACAATTTACTTCTAGTGATCAGATAATTGATTTATTGCTTTATGCTTTCAGGAAATGAATGCAGATGTTTTTTCTTCCCTGCTGAAGGCATTAGCAATGCCAGATCAGGTGGAGATTTCTTGTTACCCAGTGCGTTTTTCAGCTGCTGGTGGAATAGGTTCACTGCTCGAAGTAAGTCAGCACTTATATTAGCAATTGAACGTGTGGCTTGAACTGATGGCTTGTCATATCTAACTCAAAGAATATGTTCGTTCTCTTCAGAATGAGTACCAACCACCTGAATGGTTGCCGTTTCTTCAGATTATTACTGGTAAGATTGGTAATGAGGAAGACGAGGATAGCATGTTGTTTCAGCTTCTCAAATCTGTGGTCGAGTCGGGAAATCAAGATATTGCCACGCATATTCCGTACATTGTCTCTTCGCTAGTTAGTAATATGTTGAAGTTTATGCATCCAAGTGAAGATCCATGGTCTCAGGTATGTTTAATTCCTGCCTTTCTTAATATTTTTGCTTATATTTGAAGCTTCGACAACATGAAACTGAAGGTAACGGAATGTATTCCTCGTGTTTTGAAGTAAAAAAAATTGACACATTCTGCTTATGTTTATATCACGCACATGAAATCCTTGACGCTACCAAAATATTTGTAGTATTTCAGTTGTTCCTGGTCTAGGTATTGTGAAATTTTTACTATCTTTTGAGGACATTACAAGTTAGTCAGTTCAACCTTATTTCTAATACCTCTTATATTGTTTTCAACGTAGGCTATTCTAGGTGGCCTTGAGACATTAGCAGCGATGGCTCAGACTTATGAAAGCTCTAAGCCTGAAGCGGATGAGGAGAATAATCAGGCGACTGAAATATGGCTAACTGGTCAAGGCAACATCAGCAAAGCTTTGTCAGCACTTTTACAGCACGCATGGCTGGTAGTTAAATTATGTCTTACTCTAATTACTGTGATATCTTCAAACATTACTACTCCTTTGTACTACAATTTATGGAAATTGAAACACTGTTCTAATTTTAGGATACTGCTCTGCCTTTTCTCTTTGCATGGTTCAGGCAACAGATGTGCCTCCGACTTCAAGCATAGATCATTTGTCGACGATGTTGCGGTTCATTGTGATTGCCTGCACTAATTGCAATGTATTTGTGGAGCTCAGATTAAGTGAATTACTCATAGTTTGGGCCGATATTCTTGCTAGTTGGAATGGTTGGGAAGAGTCGGAGGATTTATCAGTTTTTGACTGTATAGAAGAAGTTGTGGGTATAAACAACAAATATGGTTTTAGGAGTTTCCTTTTCAGAGATATGGCATCCCCTCCAGCCATGCCAGTCCGTCCGCGATCTGTTGTTGAATCCATTGGTTCATTTGTCAGCAAAGCCATACTTGAGTATCCGTCGGCCACAAGGAGGGCTTGTTCTTGTGTCCACACATTATTATATGTACCCAACTACTCATCTGACATCGAAGGGGTGGGGAAATCATTGGCGATGGTCTTCACTGAATCAGCCTTTTCTCATTTTCTAGCATTGCGTGAGAAACCTTGTACATTGTGGAGGCCTCTATTACTGGCAATATCATCATGCTATATCTCCTATTCCGATATTGTGGAAGGCGTTTTAGAGAAAGTGATATCTGGAGGTTTCGAGTTATGGGTATCTTCATTGGCTTTTTCATACTCGCTTATGTGTGATGCCAGTCCATCAGTAGTATCGGAAGTAAAACTATATGGTGAGTAGATAAATCTTTCCTTTCTGTGGTGATTGAGAATTATCAAACTTACGATTACAGCTCACATGTTAAAACCTGTGCTTTTGCCAACTCGTTAATCATAAAAGGTTTAGTTGTATATAGTAGCTGTTGTTAATCATAAATGCATGAACATAGGCTAAAAGTCCTCTTGTTTCAGTGATGACGGTAGTAAAGGTGATCAAGCATCTTTTAGATGTAAGGCACGGGAATGCAACTGATGATTTGGCAAGGAAGTGCTTTGTTTCATTGATGGATGCTTCTCGGAGGCTAAAGGAAGTGAACGAAGAAACAGACGATGATGAAGATGATGGAGAACCTGGAGAAGAAGAGACAGAATCTGAAGAAACTGATTCAAATGATGAGGTTTGATTTGATTTCTAGTACTCGTTATTAAATTACAATCAAAGTCTGTTCTGTAATTTATTGTTAAAACTAGTATAAGGATATAAACTCAGATAAGCAACCAATTTGCTGGTCCAGTTGCAAACTAGTTTATAAACGACTAGTTTCAAGAAACAACATTGGATCTTCTAGTGATTTGTTTCTTCCCAAATAAGCTGTCTCATCTTATGTCTTTTTTGAACAGGATTCTGAGAGCGATGACGAGTGTGAAGAAACGGAGGAAGAGTTTCTACAAAGGTATGCCAAAGCTGCAGCAGAATTGGAGGAGAGTGAAGTAATTGAAGAGGCGGATGAAGAAGATGATGACCATGAGATTGATTTGGGCAAGTTTGCTCTTCACAACAAGATAAGAAACAACTTAAAACTTTGTTTAAAATCGAGATTTTTAATTTCCTTAAGTACTGATATTGCAGGTTCTCTGAATGAAATCGATCCGCAGAAACTGGTGTTAACATTAATGGAGAAGCAGCACGAGAAAGTAATAAAACTCGTACCCTCTGAAGTAATCTCAACCTTTCTCAATTCTTTTCCTGTATACACAAGTCTCTTCTCTAAGTGCCTCTAAACATTAAACTACAGTTTTCTCTTTCTCCAAGTTTTGATGCGGTTTTGTTCATCCTTGGTGTTCCATGTTTGATTGAGACTTTTGAGCCATTTGAAACTTATCAGATCAAAAAGTCTTTTGATGGTCTCTTAATAGACTTATTAGACATGAAAAATAATCTTTTATATTTAGAGATATATTTGTAAGAAATTTGTATACTGTCTGTTTCGAATATTCAATATTGTTCACTTGTTTTTAGTGGTTTTGGAGTTACATATTTGGATAATGTAGGCCATACAAATCTGGCAAGTAACGACCTTTTATTTACCGTTTCTGGTAAGGGATCTTTTAGACCATTGGGCCTGTAAAGGTCAATTTCAAGGGTATTATCGACTTTAGCATTACTTAGATTCTTCGGTTGAAAACGCTGCGTATGACAACAAAACAGCGGAATCTGTCTGTCTTTGCGCGTCTTCTGGGTTTTTCTAATTTCCATTTTTCTCACTCAGCGAATCTTCTCGTCGTCTTCTTCGTTTCTCTCTACCTCACTCATCTTAGTGTCAGGGTTTCTTCGATTCGGTAGATTATTATTTCAACTTTTTTCTGCTGAACTCACTATCCTAACTTCTCTCTCTGTCACTCTAACTCTTCGTCGGTACCCAAATTCTTCTTCAGTCGAAGAACTGTTTAGGTCAAGTATGACTTGATTCTGCCAAATTTCTGGTATATTTATCAAATTTCTGCTAAAAATTGTCTGCTTTTATAGCTGGATTTGTTTTCTTATAAGCTTATTTGATTTCGTTTCTCAGCATCTTTAGCTTCACGTTAATGTAAGCTTCTAAGCTTATTTGATTTCGTTACTTTGCATTTTGAGATTTTTATTGGTGTTATTTTTGGTTTTGTATAATTTAGATTTCCGTAAAATAGGGCTTCTCTGCGTACATTTAGAGCTCTCTCTCTCTTTTTCGTTTCGAGTCTTGTTTAGAATTGGTAAATTTTGTATTAGTGGAGCTCTTCTTTTTGTTTTGCAAGAGAGTCTCAGATTTTATCTGATAGTTTTGCTGCCGTGTTATAGTTTCTCTCTATTCCTGGATTTGTATCTTCACTGAGAAATTCTGTTTTTTTTTTTTTATATATAAATTTCAGGTGGTTTATTCAAACTCCATTGAACAAAATATTTTATCCGATAAATTGAAGCATTGTATACCGAGGGAACCTCTGATTTTGTTACTGATCAGAGCATGTATTATCCTGCTTATTACTGTTCAGGTTGATAGCTGGCTCACTAACTTTACTTGTTACTCTTGCTTTCATGGTTGCAAATTCCCTAAGTTACTGGATTTTTTTTCAGGTTATGATTCATCTGTCGAATGGGAGAACCGTCAGGTTATTCTTGGTGTAGATGGTTCAGAGGTCCAATACACGGTGTGTGAAACTTGCTGTTTTTTTTTTTTTTTGTTATTGTCCTATCTGCTAACATTCTGATCTGTGCGTCTTCAGGGTGGGCAAAATGAAAATTCTCCTTATATCTGCTATACACCAAGTTATGGATATGCACAGTCTCCCTACAATCCCTACAATCCTTACATACCAGGCGCATCAATAGGCGTTGACTCTTCTTTTCTTGGATTCCAACAATATTACTCAAACCCTCCCTATGAAAATGCTGCATCCTCACCTACTTATGCTCCATATGTTATTCAGCCTGATATGGTCTCGAATAGTTCAACAGACTCTTTGGCAACAACTGACTTAGCCAATGGTGGTCAATCTGATGGAAGAGGTTCCAAGCCGAGAAGTGCTTCAGCAATTGCCGTATTTCCAAAAGATGCTCCAAAATCTTCGACAGTGAATTCCTTGGGTATGACCCATGGGAAGCTAAGGTCTAACACTGGCCAGAATAAACAGCCAGGAATCCCCAAGAATGTTTCCCCAACAGCTTCCGCGCATTCTCTCCAGGTAATTTCTCGTATAGAATTATTCCTGATTCTGTTTTCTTGTAAATATTGGGTGTATTTTTGCATTACGAGGAGTGTCTTTTTATAACACAGCAGTGCTTTCTTAGCCATCATTCCTACGTTGATTCTGGTGTCGTGTGTATGTTTTTGCAGGGAAAAACTGCCTCCGTTGACACTGTTTCCAGTAGCAGACTCTCGTCTTATGGGCACTTTGACATTGCTAAAGGGTTTCCATCCATTGTTTCAAATAGTTGCAAGCCTCGTTCCAAGATGTATGATAGCAGAGGTGATACTGACGTAACCGGAAGTCCAGATACGAGTGAACAAAATCGAGGTATAAGAACGAGAAGATCAAGAAATCAACTAATTGTCAAAGCTTATACAACCAAAGCTGGAAACGTTGATTCGGAAGGAAACATTGTGATAAGTCCTGATCAATATAATAAAGAAGATTTCAGTCTTGATTACAGCGATGCCAAGTTTTTTGTGATTAAATCGTATAGTGAAGATGATGTTCACAAGAGCATCAAGTATGGTGTCTGGTCATCAACATTGCATGGGAACAAGAAATTGCAGGGTGTATATGAAGATACTCAGAGAATAGCCACTGAGAAGTCTCGTGAATGTCCTATTTTCTTATTCTTTTCTGTGAGTCCATTCTTCCTCTTTGTTCCTTGTGCCAATGTGTTTGCATTCATACTATGGGCTCATGCTGATGTAGTGCTTCCCTCGTTTTAGGTCAATGCCAGTGGTCTGTTCTGTGGCGTGGCTGAGATGACCGGTCCAATTTCCTTCGACCGCGACATGGATTTTTGGCAGCAAGACAAATGGAGTGGAAGCTTTCCTGTCAAGTGGCACATCATTAAAGATGTTCCTAATAGCTATTTCAGGCACATTATTTTACATAATAATGAGAATAAGCCAGTGACCAACAGCCGAGACACACAAGAGGTGAGTTTTCCTAACTTAACACTTCACCTTGAAAACTAGATTCCGAGAACTCTGATTTTGATATCTCAAGTTTCAATCTAATCATTCTCGTTTGTGTGCAGATAATACTGAAACAAGGACTCGAGGTGCTAAAACTATTCAAAAATCATGCGGAAAAGACTTCACTATTAGATGATTTTATGTACTACGAAAACCGCCAGAGACTCATGCAGGAAGAGAGAGCTAGACTTCCATTCAGGACCTTTCGCAGGCCATTTCCCGTGCTTAAACTAGATTGTTATGACAGAAGCAAGAAAAGCTCCAAGGATGTCGTCAAGAAGCCTCCAGTGACCTCTGCAGAAACAAAAGGTGTGCAGTTAAAAAACTCAGATGGGAATGAAAAGAGCAATCCACAGGAAGCAACAGAAGATTCTACTCCTTCAACTCTGAAGATTGGTTCTCTCACCATTAAACCGACTGCTTGTACCACCTTTAACCCGACCCAAGCCAAGTCTAAACCGGCCCCATCTCTCAGCTCTGATCACAAATCAGACTCTTCTGAAGAGGTTACTGGGTCTCTGGCTGATGACATCCTCAGAGTAGGATCGTTGCCCATAAAAGTAAAGGTATCTGCAGATTCATCCTCGAAGATCGTAGCAGTTGGTACAACTCTTCTCAACTCAAGATCAGTTCAGAAGTAAACCAGGGGGGTTTTGACATTGTCTTTGTCTAACTTGTTTTTATACATAATATAAAGCATGGTCAATATGGTTCGAGAAAGAGATTTGGTAATTGGTATGTACAGATTGGTTAGTTTTACCTTTAAAAAGGGTCTGATTGGTGGTTTGAGAATCCTTGTTCATCGTCTCAGTTTGGTCAAATGATTGTTGCCAGTGGTAGCGTTTTGGTTTGTTGGGTTTGATTAAAGAGTTGGTTCCTTCTTTTGATCGAAATTTGTGTGTGTTTGTCATGCAATACTAATGTATGCGACTGGTGTTTTCTCTTTCAGCATCAAATACGAAGGCACTATGTTGAGTTTGTAACAAACTCAATAAGGCTTTCGTAAACCTACAGGATCAAAATCGTTTCTTTTCACCATAGTCTTCCCGGGCCCAAAAACCAGAGCGAGTATTAACTTATTTGACTGAACCGTCTCTATATAAAAAGATTGAAAACGTGGAAGTAAAACCCTAATCACCATTTCGTACGTCTATCCTTATTGAAACAAGGACGACCTAATTTCCATTTCATTGATATTTGTTAAAACAATGACGAAGATTTCCGATCTTCCTAGGGATTTGGCAGAGGAGGTGCTCTCTAGGGTTCCAGTTACATCTCTGAGAGCAGTACGATTTACTTGCAAAAAGTGGAACACTTTAACTAAACATCGGAGCTTTACAAAGAAGCTGGTTTGTCAAGCAAAAGCAGAACCAAAGAAGAAGCAGGCGAAGGAGTTTCATGCGATCATGACGATGAATTATAAGGTTTATCTGATGAGCGTCAATCTAGATGAAATTCACAAAGATGACAACGTTGAATCATCTATAAAGCAGAAAGGTAAACTTATTAGCCTAAACGTTGCTGATCGAATAAGTATATCTCAAGTTTGTCACTGTGATGGTTTGTTGTTATGCATCACCAATGACAACTCTAGGCTTGTGGTTTGGAACCCTTATTCTGGGCAAACAAGAAGGGTCCAACCTCGAATTTCTTACAAGAGATGGGACTACTACAAGTATGCTCTCGGGTACGAGATGAATAACAACTCTTATCGTAGCCACAAAATTTTGAGATTTACACCCACTATGGGAGTTTGAAATCTACAATTTAAACTCTAATTCATGGAAGGATGTTGAGGTCACCCCCGACTGGACTATAGATCAACATGGCGTGTCTCTCAAGGGTAATACTTACTGGTCTTCTCTAAGACAGAAGAGCTTACATTTTGAGATATTAGAAGAGATCCCTGGTTTTTTACTATGTTTTGATTTTACAACAGAGAAATTTGGACCGCATCTGCCTCTGCCATTTAAGTACCCTTTTAGAGAAGATACTATAACTCTATCTATTGTTGGAGAAGAGCAACTTGCAGTGTTAGGTCAGCATCAACATTGGACAGAGATATGGATTAGTAATAAGATTGAGCCAAATGCGGTGTCATGGAGCAAATTGTTTTTAATAGTAGATGAGATAAGACTAGACCCGGCTAGAGCTGCGACTTTCTTCGTTGATGAGGAGGAGAATGTGGCCGTGGTTTTTGATAAAAGGCAAATGGGTTCATAAGTCCAGTCGCAACACAGCCAACATCGTTGGAGTGGATGGATACGACAAAGAAGCGGATCTCGGAGAATCTGTCCACAAATATTGTTTTCCACTTGTGTGCTCTTATGTTCCGAGTTCAGTGCAAATCTAGCAACTTACACCATGCACGAAACAAAAGGAAGAAACCATGTCATTAATTAGTCCATTTACAAAATCTATGATTTAGTTCTTGCTTTGTTCTTTTGTCATGTTCTTTGATGATGATGAAGATTAGTCAAAACAAATATTTTAAAAATCTTGCATTAACAGTAGTACAAACTCAACAAGACTCGGCGAAGAAAACATAATCTTTGTTGAGAAATAACTCGAATTCTATTAATTATCTCTGTAAAATTCAATCATTCTCAAAGTTTGGGAATTGGGAGAGTAGGTTTCCTTGGGTTTTTTCATCAAGTTTTGATGTTTTTACACGTTGCTTGCGTATCTAATATAATTAATTTAACTCTTAAGTATAAACATAAATCTTATACAAATTTTAGCATCTTAAAAACATTACAAATTTTGAAAAATTATCTAAAAACTTGAAATATTAAACAGAAACTAGTTATAATCTTATGTTCCAAACTCTATGATCTGGACCGTTCGTTTTACTTAAGCGCTCGATCTACCGGACTGCTCAAAAGGAATGAATAAATTCGTTTCAGATTTGACCATAGTCTCAGCAGTGTAGTCCACGCGCCACGGTACAGTGCGATCAAGTTCTTCTTACTTGGTTAGCTAGCTTTTCCTCCGACGCGGACCACCGCACAGGCATGCACCTTCTTCCTCTCTCTCTATCTCTCGCTCTCTGTGGGTCTCTTTGTCGCAATCTCAGGAATTACTTTTTCACTTGTGGTTTAATCTCTTAGTTCGAGGTGTGTTCTATTTTGGGGGCTTTATTGATTTCATCTTCTCCCTTGCCGTTTATGGGACAAATCATCGATGAGCAAGTAGCTGCTCAATTCTTTTTTTTTTTCATTTGGGGACACTGACATAATAATCTCTCTGGTATCTATCTGCAGGCTTTCATGTGAAATTTTCTTGCTTTGGAGTTTGTGGACTTTGCTCGTGAGATTTTGTGTGTGATTTTTAATTCAAATGGTATGGAATTTGGCTACTTTGGGACTGTTGTTATCTTTTTGCCTGGAATCACTTTTTCAATTTGTTTTTTTTTTGTCTGGAATTTTGCAGGGTGATTTGCGTAGACGAAATGGAAATGGAGGTTCCTCTAATCATGAAAGGAATGAGCAGATACTGTTTCCAAAACCAGAGACTTTGGACTATGAATTGCCCTGCGACACCTCTTACCCTCACCAGATTGGTGTATGTTTGTTAACCTTTCTTTACCTAGAGGACACAAATGGCTTCGATTCTTAAACATCCACTGTCTCTACATTTTTTACTTTAAAATGTTTTTTTTTTGTTGTTTGTGAACATCTTTGAAAAATACTAATCAACAGGTAAAAGAACAAGTAGTGGTTTAGGAAGGTTCTTATTGTTTTCCTACTTGATGTGCAGGACAATGCTGCTAGTTCTTCTGGAAGCAATGTTAAGTCATTGCTGATTGAGATGGGATTTTGCCCAACTCTTGTTCAGAAAGCAATTGATGAAAATGGTATTCTAAAGTTTCCTGTAAAAAATTGTTATTTTACGAAAGACTACCTATGGATGCTAACTTTCATTTGGGGTGTATGATTACTGAGTTTGCCTTTTCACATCCAGGTGAAGATGATATTGAATTTCTATTAGAGATTCTCACTAAGAGTACTGTAACAGAACAACCTGGAACCAGCTTTCATGGGCTAATGGAACCCAAACCGGTAAACGCATAATGTGTGATCCACATGTCTTGTATTTCATTCTGTGTAATTTCTTACTGTTTCTTGCTTTTCTTTGACAGGAACCTGATATTGAATACGAAACTGATGGTAGAAGGATTGCGTTACTAACAATGCAGTTTCCAGAAAATCTAGTTGACTTTGCACTGGATAGGCTTGGTAATCTATTCACAATGACTTTGGCTTTCCATTCAAAATTTGAAACATCTTACAAAGTTACACCATTTTGTCCTTGTCTATTCATGGTTTTACATATTAGAGTTTCTTCTTTTCAGGTTATTTTTGAGTGATTAGACCTCGTGTACATTGCAAGACCAAATTTCTCACTATTGCACGATATATATTTTTTGTCCTTATAGATTAACCATCTCTTCATACTGGAACTTCTGATTGTATGACATTTAATATAGGCAAAACTAAGGAGGCTTATAGGTCATAGTATAACTCTCTGAAAAGAGAAATAACATTATGAAGCTGTTTATTAATGCTAAAGTGGAAAATCCATCCCCTGTGACTGTATTAAAAAATTGTATATAGTTTCTAAAAGATTGATACTTATACTATTCAAAGCTATATAGAAACTTAGCATGCAGATAGCAGCTGTCATTTTGCCTATCGCCAAAGCCTTTCTTCATGATTGTTTGTTCTGCGTGCTAGGTAAAGACGCGCCAATTGATGAGATGGTGGACTTCATTGTTGCTGCTCAATTAGCTGAAAAGTATGCAGAAGAATCTGAAGACTCACTTGATGGTGCTGAGATCAATGAAGAAGATGAAGATGTCACTCCAGTTACTGCTCGGGGACCTGAGGTCTTTGGTGCTTTTGACATTAGCTGTTGATATTATTGTCAATGCTTTTTTCTTCTTTTATGTCCTTTTGTTGGTTCACCTTAGTAGATTCCACTACCTTTCTTTTGTGTTCATTCTTTATTGTTCATGTTGTTATTACCTTATTACCTCTAATATTTGTTTTGTGCTTTAAATTCAGGTTCCCAACGAACAGTTGTTTGAAACAATGGACAAGACTTTGCATTTACTGGAAATGGGATTCTCCAATGATGAAATTTCAATGGCAATTGAGAAGATAGGTGAGCAACTGAGGCACTTATCTGTTCATCCCAGACTGTTATATGTCTGAAAGAAACAATATAGACATGAAACGTATCTTGTTTATGTTGTTGGGGCTGATTATGATACTTTTAGGGTGAAAGAAATCCTATCATTTATTTTGCAAACGTATATAATCTATTGTGCACCTCTTCAGGTACAGAAGGTCAGATTTCTGTCCTTGCTGAGTCAATTGTTACTGGTGAATTTCCTGCTGTATGCCATGATGACCTTGAAGATATAGAAAAGGTATGTTCACTCTAATGTTTTTAATTAATTTTTTCTTGACCTCAAATGATGCACTTGTGAAGTGAAGTGCTGAAACTAGAGATTTTGCTGCTGCTACTGCTCCGAAACCATCTCACACTCTTCTCTTAATTAAAATAAGAAATTGTTGGAGTTTTACTCAATAATATTTGGTGTCACTGTAGAAAGTTTCAGCGGCGGCTCCTGCAGCGAATCGTGCATGTCTTTCAAAGAGTTGGAGATTTGTTGGTGTTGGTGCCCAGAAAGAGGATGGTTGTGGGGGTTCGTCGAGTGGCACTGCTAATATAAAACCAGATCCTGGTATTGACTCTTTTCCTTTCCCTGCCACTGCCAATGTGGGAGAGACCTCGAAGGGTAAGCGACCAAAAGATGAGGATGAGAATGCCTATCCAGAGGAATACACTGACCACGATGACAGAGGAAAACGGTTAAGACCCGAATATATGGGTGACTCAAGTTCGTTTATGGAAACCCCATGGATGCAAGATGAGTGGAAAGATAACACATATGAATTTCCCAGTGTAATGCAGCCACGTTTGTCCCAGAGTCTTGGCCCAAATGTAGCCAAACGACCTTATTTCTTCTATGGACAGTTAGGTGAACTATCTCCTAGCTGGTGGTCGAAGATCTCGGGTTTCTTGTTCGGAATTCACCCCGAGCATGTAGATACTCGGTTGTGTTCAGCGCTCCATAGGACAGAAGGGTACCTGCACAATCTTCCCACTGTTAACAGGTTCAATATCCTCCCAAAGCCTCGGTTAACTATACAAGACGCAATGCCACAAATGAAGAGTTGGTGGCCGCAATGGGATATCAGAAAACATTTCAATAGCGGCACGTGTTCTAATAGGAAAGATGTGACTCTTCTCTGTGAACGAATTGGACGCCGTATAGCTGAATGCAGGGGAAAGCCTACTCAACAAGACCAGACTCTAATACTTCGACATTGTCACACATCCAATCTCATTTGGATTGCTCCAAACATCCTCTCACCTGTGGAGCCTGAACATTTAGAGTGCATTATGGGATATCCAACGAACCACACAAACATCGGTGGTGGAAGATTGGCTGAAAGATTGAAGTTGTTTGATTACTGCTTCCAAACAGACACATTGGGTTACCATTTCTCTGTACTCAAGTCTATGTTTCCCGAAGGTTTAACAGTTTTATCACTCTTTAGCGGGATTGGTGGTGCGGAAATTGCATTGGACCGCCTTGGAATCCATCTAAAAGGCGTAGTCTCTGTAGAGTCCTGTGGATTGAGCCGTAACATACTGAAAAGATGGTGGCAGACTTCTGGACAAACCGGTGAGCTAGTGCAAATTGAAGAAATCAAAAGCTTAACGACAAAGAAGCTGGAAACTTTGGTGCAGAGATTTGGGGGATTTGACTTTGTCATTTGTCAGAACCCATCAACACCACTTGATCTCTCTAAAGAAATCTCAAATAGCGAAGCCTGTGAATTTGATTATACGTTGTTTAACGAGTTTGCTCGTGTCACGAAACGTGTCAGAGATATGATGGAGTTAAGTTGACCAAGAGCCTCCTTTACGTCCTCAAGAACCTAGAGACTTGTCTAATCTCAGGAGTCTTTGCTGAAGGTAATTCAGTCAATCGTGGAGACTTTCAACAGGAACTGTTTTTTTTTTGCAATTGATGCTTTAATGCATCAGTCTGTGTAACATAATCCGCATAGAAACGTGGGATATCTTCTTTTTACTTTTTTGCTATGCTACTTCTCGGAGAGATAAGCAGTGAATCATGTGGTCAATGTTGTTGTATCTTGTTCACGTTTATGTATAATATTAGCACTTTTTCTGAATTCTTTCTTTTTTAGCTCAATGTTGTTGGTTGCTTAATTCATACTCATCTTCGTCAAAATCAATTGTTAACGAATCTAAGCAAGAGCCAAATAACTGTATGATTTGAAGTAGAGAACCCCTTCACTGATTGCACAAGAAAATCATCAATGCCGAGTCACTGAAGCTACTCGATCAAGTCTTTTATTAAAGCCAACTTAGTTGCATTATTAGCCTACAAGCATTGAACTAGAGAGATAGAGAGAGAATAACAATGGGAGAGTCTGCAACCAGACTGCATCAGGATCTCTGGCTAACCTTGCCTCCTGTCAGCTTTGCTGACTCAAACAACATGTGATTGATGAGTCCCCGAGCAGCACTGCCAAATACCAGTATCAGAGAATGTTGAGTCATTCCAAACTTTTCAAATACATGATCTCAAGCAGCTGTATGTGTGCTTGTGTGAAACATCATCTTTTGCAGTAAAATGCCTCAACGAACAAGTTTTACATCTGATCTAAGAGCTTGGGGAGAAAAAAAAGAAAACTCACTCATCTTTAAGCTTCTGAATCTTCTCAGGGTCTGTCTCATTCATGTGTTTCTTAAATTGTTGCCTCACCATACCAACCACTAGCTCAGTGTTGTGTTGCTGCAAGACACAAACGTGTAAACATATCAAAGTTCACTTCCTAAATCTCCTCCACTCCAGGATATCTATAATCCTAACAGAAAGGCATAAATCTCTTTCTCGATGAATCAAAACACAAATGATGATAATATCAATCTCAACCTTTTCTGCTTGCATCACATCAATACATATTTCAGCTTCAATCAAACTGCATTCGGGTATAACTACCTCAAGTGGGTCAAGAGAATCGACTCAAAAAGGTATAGATAGACACGAGCTCTGGGTGAAGACACAAAGACAAAGCATCCTGACTCTAAATGAAAATCTCTCTACGTTTTTCTCTGAATTACTAGGTTACTAAAAGTAAAAACATGTGAAGATAAAGAACAGTGATAAATCTTTATCCGAACATTATACAACAACCAAGAATGGCAATCAAACCAAACACAATCCCATCGAAAGCAACAGAGATTCTGAGTCTGACAAAGCAGGTTCATATCCAAAGCTCAGAGAAACAATTTAGTTATAAACCTCACCTGCTTACCAATAAATTTAGCTCTACGAAGACATTCTCGGTACAACTGCCAATAGACAAATAGATCAGTGAAATAGCATCAAGGAACGAAAAAACAAATCATAAGTTTAATGTGAACATTGATACTGACCCTAACCACATTGTTAGCGAGTTCAGGAGGCAGAGAAGTTTGCAAAGACGGCATTTTCACAGGAGATCTCGAGCTTCTTCAATTATAGTTTCTTTTCCTATAACGTAGAACACAAGATCAATCAGAAGAGACGATGAAATACACAGAAACCAAAAACCCTAAACCCTAAAGCTGCAGTCACTGGAGAAGAGCAAAGCTTAGTCTTTCTAGTCCACACCTCAAATAGAGTTGATCGAGAAGGCAGAGAGATTGAATTAAAGAGAAGAAATATATGAAATCAATTTTCAAACATTTCAAACCAAACAGAGACCGAGAGGGAGAGAACAACAAATAGATCCACTTACCTGAGAGAGACGGAGAGAAGCAACGGTGACCAGCTGCCCAGCTTCCGATTTTCAGATTCTGAGGTAAAGCATACTAAATAAACGGCGTCGTTTTAGAGTTTATTTTTACAAACAGCCCAATAAGTAGTGGCCCATTTATATTTTTCAAGTTAAATATTCTTAGCAATCTCATCCGTCCATTGTTTGCGTTACCAACCGTAGATTTTATCGTCCCAGAGAGAAATAAATAATATCCTACGTGGATAATAGCTTCAGACTCTAGTAGCAATTTCCCGCCAAAATCATAATTAAGATCCTAGCCTAGATATAGATGCAACATTGAGAACTGGAATCGTCTCTCCTTCCTTTATTTCGAAAAACCCTAATTCTCTCTCCGTACCGTTCGTCTCCCCCAAACAAGGTTGCTATGGACGATGCTGATCTCGCCTCCGGCTCCAGCTCAGGTTCTTATTTCTTCTCCAGAGAGCTAAAGTCTGATTCTTTCTATGGATTTTATCCCAATTTCTAGGGTTTACTCTGATCTCTGTCCCTTTCGTTAGTTAACTTTACAATGTTGTGTCTGTGAATCTACCTCTCTGTATCTTTTTCGGTTATATGGATTGAATTTACAGTCTCTATGTCTTAACACTATTGCATCATTGGTGATTTTTTAGATATGAAGAGGAAACAAAAGCTGGATGATTCTGTAGATGATGGGGCTCTGGAGGAGGAGAAACGTCGTTATAGATCTATGGCTAAGGTTGCTATTGGTTATGGGATTAATCCTTCTGTCGAGAACTCGGTCATTACTGAAATGGTGCATACCGTGTGCCCGGATTTTTCTCTCGATACTTCTAAACTCAAGACCGCTGTTCTGGAGATGCACGAAGAAGGTAAAGACAAGGTCAAGAAAATGCTCAAGGATGGACAAGGGAAATTAACACTCTGTTATGAATGGTTTTGGACAAGTGATGACATTGATGGACCTATTTTGAACGCGGATTTCATCGGTATTAGCGCTTATTTCGCTGATGAAAACTGGAAGATGAAGAAATGGATCTTGGGGTATCATCCTCGTGAGTCATTGCGTGTGAAGGACATTTATGTTGATTCTATTAAGAATGTTATTCTGGATTATGAGATTGAGAGCAAGGTCTCGACTCTTCTAATGCCTAACTATGGTGATCTTGGTGTTGAAGCGTTTGATGCTTTTAGAAAATGGATAGAAGAGAAAGGGAAAAATCCGATCGACTCTCGTGTGTTCCTCATCTATTGCTGCTCTGACATTTTCCGGTTAATGGTTGATGATATGTTTAAGGACATAAACATATGGCTGATGGAACGTGTTCGGATGTTGGTTGGTTGGGGAAGAATGGTACCGACCAATTGGGATGTCACGTTGTATAATCTGCAAAAAGCTGTTGATATGGAAGCCAAGAATGTATTTGAAGAGGAAGAAGATTACCAGGATTATGAACAACCATCTGATGAAGAATGGATCAAGATTAAAACTTTTTGCAAACTCGCGGGTTGCATTTATAAAGTTGCAAAGGAGCTTTTTGACGGAGAGTATCCAACATCTAATGTCTACTTCCACCTTCTTGCAGAGCTAAAAGTCATGCTAAACGAAGAGCTCAAGAACGGTGATAATGATTACTTCCTCTGCAAAGCCAAGGAGATATTGGAGAGGTTTGATAAGTACTGGAATGATATGTTCCTGGTTTTGGCAACTGCTTCTGTTTTAGACCCTCGGTTCAAGATGAAGTATCTTGAGTTTTACTGTTCAAAGAATGAAGTTAGCAATGAAGGTTTAAAAGCTGAAACTGTTGTGGACTATTTACGCGGTCTATATGCTCGCTATGCAGCTAGTGATATCAGTCCACTACCAAAATGTCCCGATGCTTCGATGAACCCAAATTCCAGTGGTTTGTTTAAATATTTGTTCGACGAAGAAGATGAAGAAGAAGAGGAGGAGAAGAAACCTGATGGATACAAGGATTTTGTTTTGTTTCAAGAATTTCTCAAGTTTGAAGGATCTTCAAGGGAGTTTCAAGAATCAGAACTTGATTCATATCTCAAGGAACCAGTTATGGAGTGGAAAAAGGACTTCAATGCATTGGAATGGTGGAGAGAAGAGAACTCAAAGTACCCGATCCTCTCCAGAGTAGCTCGTGACATTCTCTCCATTCCGATCTCTCGTGGAACATCGCACCGTGCTTATGTTGCTGACAAGAGAGAGTGTCCTGATTTTATCGTCTCCATGGAGGCCAAACTTGTGAACGCCATGATGTGCTGCGAGAGCTGGCCACGACTTTGATATGGCCATTTTGGTAAGAACATTAAATGCTAGGGCCTTCATGAAAACTCAATAACTCTGTTTATCAGTAACTAGTATTGATGTGTGAAGTTTCTTGACCAAACCTTGTTTCTGGTCACCAAAGTAAAGGTTCGAACCTGAATTTCATGTTGTGTTTCCTTGATGTTATTCTTTATCCTTTCAGGTACTTTAATTTTGTGGAATGGCTCCTCGCAGTGACTTCTCTGTCCTTTGTCTCGAAGACTATTTTGAAAGATTTGATTAGATCAAACTTGTTATCGTTGTTTTTGGTATTTTTGTCTTATTGGATTGATGACCTCTGAGCTCTAATCAAAAATCACATGTTAGTCGATCAGTCATGATCATTTATTGGTTTTTGATATTATTTGTCAACAATTCATCTAAAATATTACTATTGTTTTTGGTAAAGATCAAAAACAGAAAATACAGTATTAACGTTTATCCGTTTAATAATATACATACTAATGTAATAACATGAGCATAAGTTTTCAGAATAATGACTGTTACAGGGTTCAAAATTTTGTATAGAAATTAAATAAGCAGGTATTCAAATACCAATCTGAATTCTTGACCTTGAGCTACACATATTTTGCAAAAAGCTCACTGGAGAAAAAAAACTCATAATAAAACGCGGTCGTTTCTTAACCTATGAACCTAGAAAAACGATATTGGGCTAAAAGTAATAAAAGCCCAATAAGAAACAATATAGGTATCTTCCTAATTTCCCATTTGCCGTCTTTCTTCGTCGAGAGAGTGAAGTCAGAAACCACGAGATGATGACGATGATTTCCGATCTTCCATACGATTTGTTATCGGAAATACTCTCTAGGCTTCCGATCAAGTCTCTACCGAAACTGAAAACCACTTGCAAGCGATGGTACGGTTTATTCTAAGATCCGGATTTCGTCGAGAAGAAGTTGGGTAAAGCAGCAAGTGAGATGGTGTTTCTGATGAATCATGAGGTTTATTCGATTAGCGTAGAAATCCATGGAATTCCAAAAGGCCGTTGGGCATCCATGGGGTTTACAGGTACACTCACCATACCCGAAGATTCAGATTTGGAAATATTTCGAATCCATCACTTGGACGGTTTATTATTATGCGCCACAATGGACTGTAGACTCGTAGTTTGGAATCCCTGTACTGGTCAAATCACATGGATCAAACCTAGAATTTGTTACAATAGTGATGATATATATGCTCTAGGATGTGGTAACAACAAATCATCTTCTTTAGATAGCTACAAAATCTTGAGGTGTTGCGATGACAATCACGAAATGCCTGAGTCTGAAATCTATGATTTTAGTTCTAGTTCATGGAGGGGTCTTGATGGCGTCACTGCAAATTGCTTCATAGAATGTAATGGTGTGACTTTGAAGGAAAGTGCTTACTGGTATGCTTCAGATGAAAAAGAAACCCCCACGGGTAAATTCATACTCAGGTTTGATTTCGCAACGGAGACATTTGCACGTCTATGTCTGCCCCTTACCTTTCAGAGGGATCATGATAATAAGAGTGTGCTTGTGGCTGTTGTTGGAGAAGAGAAACTTGCTTTGTTACAGCAGTTCGACCATAGGGTTCATAGTTTGAAATATTCTAAGATGAAGATATGGGTGACCGATACTAAGATCGGTGAGGCCAAAGACTTGTCGTGGAGCAACTTTTTAGTTGTGGATCTTGCTGACGATAATCTACCGAGTGTAACAAGTTTCCTGTTGGACGAGGAGAAAAGAGTGGCTGTGTGTTCTGATGCAGTGTGTTCTGATCCAGACACGGAAGATGAAGATAGGAGCAGAATCTACATTGTTGGAGAAGATGTAGATAAATTCGTCTATGAAGACGTTTCAACAGAAACATGGCCCAATCAGCCATTTCTCGTCAATTATATTCCAAATCTGGTTCACATTGAGAAAGATGCACCCATAGTCGAAGTGCAAAAGAAAAGGAAACGGCAAGAGGTTAGTCAAATGAATTACCTTATTTTTTTTCTTGCTTTTCCTTTTGGTCATGTTCCTTTCAACGAGATTAGTCAATCATTGTAGGGGTTGTTTCTATTTAGCTGATAGAACTTATCTTTGTTTCTCTTGTTTGCTTTTGAAATTGGAATGATGGTGATCTAATGAACTTACTCAAATAATTTCTGTTGAGATTGGATGATTATTGAGAATAGCAGAGCATTGCCCATATATAGAGAGAAACTAAACTAAAGCATATAAGCCTCCATAATTCATACCATGTTCCTTAGTCTTACAATATAATGCTTACCATAGCAATCAGCCCATAACGATAGTGTTCTTGTCATGCAAACCTGAGAGCTATAGATTACAATTTACACATATAGAGCTATAGATTACAATTTACACATATATATCTTTATTGTATTTGGTTTCTGGTTAGAGTTATCTTTAACTGGACCCGTGTGTGTGTGTGATGTTATACAGGCACGGCGAACCTGGCAGTTGACAAAAGTTGTAAGAAGAGTTTGAACAGATCAACCTGACAGTGTGTGCTCATGAAGAAAACGAAGTAAAACTTAAATCAAAAACAGATTCAAATCTTGCGGTGTGACTTCTCTTCTCTATCATTTTATATCAATAGACTATTTTATGAGTATCAATTAGATGACTTGATATTATTAGTTTTGGGGACTCTAAATCAAATCAAAATCAAATTTAGTCGATGGATCTTGATTAGTTAATTTCATTACTATTGGTTTTGAGATTACTTGTCAGTAGTTTATTGTTTTTGGACTGATCAGAATATACACGAATATAATAGCCTGAACATAAGTCTTCATATAATAATTACTATTACAAATTCAAATGTGGAAATTAGCAGCCACTAAAATACCAAATTAATTTGGCCCAGAGAATGAAACGTTGTCGTTTCGTCGTAACTTACAAACCAAGAAAAACGAAACTGGGCTTATAATAATAAAAGCCCAATATATATCTTCATAACCGTCGAGAGCTGAGATGAGAAATGACGAAAAAGGACGATGATGAAGATTCCCAATCTTCCAGACGATTTGGAATCGGAAATACTCTGCAGGGTTCCGGCGAAGTCTCTAACGAAACTGAAAACTACTTGTAAAAGATGGCACGCTTTGTTCAGAGATCCGAGATTCGTGAAGCAGAACTTGGGTAAATCAGCGAGGGAAGTGATGTTACTGATGAATCATAGGGTTCACTCAATTAGCGTCAATCGCCATGGAATTCACGACGGAGTTGATGCATCTATGGAGTTCTCAGGTAAACTCATCAGGCTAAGCGATTCGAAAGATGTCAAAGTATCTACAATCTTTCAGTGCGAGGGTTTGGTATTATGCATCAGCAGCACCACAAATGGGAACAATAGACTTGTTGTTTGGAACCCATGTACGGGTCAAACAAGGTGTATCAAACCTAGAACGTGTTACAGGCGTGATGATAGCTATGCTCTTGGATACGTAAACAGCAAATTTTCTTGCCATAGCTACAAAATCTTGAGGCTTTGCCGTTATTACAACGATCAGAAACTCCGGGTTGCTGTGTTTGAAATCTATGATTTTGGATCTGATTCTTGGAGGGTTCTTGATGATGATATGATTTGGGGCATATTTTCTGCTGGCGTTTCTTTGAATGGAGATACTTTTTGGATTGGTGGAGACAAAGAAACTGGTTTTTTCTTGATGTATTTCGATTTCACAACAGAGAGATTTGGGCGTTTTCCTCTTCCGTATCAGAGTTTCGATTATGAAGATATCGCGGTTCTATCACTTGTTAGGGAAGAAAAACTCTCCTTGTTGAATCAGAATCTTCATAGAAATTCATCAGAGATGAAGATATGGGTGACCAATAAGTTTGATGAGGCCAAAGACTTGTCATGGAGCCAGTTCCTAGTAGTGGATTTTGATAAATTTACGTTACCATATGTGAACAGCGTGATAAGTTTCTTCTTGGACGAGGAGAGTAAAGTGGCAGTGTGTTGTTATACAGACATGGAAGATGAAGAAAGGACCAAAATCTACATTGTTGGAGTGGATCTTTATAAAGAAGTCTATAAAGAGGTTACAAAGGGATCAATTCTCAACTGGCCATGTTTCGTCAGTTATGCTCCAAATTTGGTTCACATTCAGAAAACCTCACCCAAAGGCAAAAAGAAAATGAGAGAAAAGGAGGTAACTCAAATGAATCACCTTAGTTTTTTCCTTGTGGTCATGTTTCTTTGAACGAGATTAGTCAAACTTTGTTCCTCTTAATTCTTTGCTTTTGAATTTGGATTGGTGATCTAATGACCTTACTCAAATAATTTCTATTTGGATTGTGGATGTTGATTGAGAATAACAGAGCATTTCCCATATAGAGAAACTAAACTAAAGGATTGTGGATGTTGATTCATACCCTGTTATTTAGTCTTACAATATAATGCTTACATAGCACATAAGGATAGTGTTCTTGTCATGCAAACCAGAGAGCTTTTTATATGTATATATCGTTACGGTATATGGTCTCGGGTTAGAATTCTCTTTAACTGTATCTCTTTATGTGTGCTATGTTTTACAGGCACGGACGGGAGGCAAACTTGGCAAGAAGCCTTAACGCAATCTGACGCGAAACTCAAATCCAACGCATATCCAAATTATGTGGTGGAGTAAAGGAAGATTGAATCACTTCAACATATGTTAGAGATTTACAAGGCTTACTTTGGTTATGAGGGTAAAGCAAACACAATTATTTTGTAGTTCATTTGACTTTGAGGATCGGATAAATTCCCTAATAGATATCAGATTAACGCAAAAGGAATATAGTGAAAACACCCACATTCACCGCATGTGGAATTTGCTTTTAAGGTTTCTTACAGAATGACAGAGATCACAATGCTTGAATGAAGTTTCTACAGAATTCCAAAAATCTTATCTGAGAAGTTTGAAATCTGTTTCTTGTAGCAGAAATATTCCTTGACTGTGAAGAATCCACAGTGCACTTCCTCGAGTAATTTCGGAACATTGGTCAATCCCAGTGAAATCATGCATTGCAAACTCCGTAACGAAGAGAAATTGAAAGAGAATTCAACAAACGCAAATAAAAAATCAAATGAAATTTGAGAAACCAAACGCGAAAAAAACCCCTAAACTTGATTAGCAAGAAACCTGGACATGAGAAAGTAGACTTTGAAGTTTTAACAGAAATTCATAATCTTACTATGATAATAGAGAAATTTTGGAGACCATCCTCCTTACACTGTCTCACGTTTCCTTCGAGAGGCTTTTCTCTAAATGCAAGTGCAACTATTATTAGTGCAGTCTTATGCTAATTGACTATTATACCCTCTCTTCTCTATTTATACCAATTGTTAAACCCTAATTTCTATTTGCAGTCCTGTCTCTTTCTTCATAAGGAGGTCAGACGAGAAATCACAAGAGATAAATAAACAATGATGTTTGCTGATCTTCCAAGTGAAGTAGAATCTTAAATACTCTCTAGGGTTCCTGCCACATCTCTAAAAGAATTGCAAACTACTGGCAAACAATGGTACACTTTATTTAGAGATCCAAGATTTGTCAAGAAGAACTTGATTATTTGTTTCATACATTCCGATGGCGTGAGACGTTGTTAAGAAATTTCTGAGAGGAACCTGAGTAATCAAGAAATTGTTATAATCTATATATACATTTTTGAATGACTTTTAGCAAATAAATCCTGGAGTTGAACCTTATTTACGGATGAATACCATTGGCATTAATTATTTAAATTTGAAAAATATTACTTAAAGATATTACCAATACGATTTCGAGAATCATAAATTCATATCTTCTTTAATTTTCTGAGTCATTAATGTGATAATCTTTAGGAAATATTTCTCTGTAAAAAAAAAATCCACATTAATGAAGGCATTAAAATCGACACTAACAATTAAATTATTTAGATGTTCAATTATTTTAAGATTCTTATATCTTATTTGATATTTTTTTTTAATATCTCATTCTTTAATTACTGCGTTTAGAATTTATTGGTTGTTACCTATTTTTTGGTGAAATTTATTGGTTGTTACTTAATAAGTAATTATGGTGCGTTTATTTTAGTTAATATCTAATTTAAAGGATTTGTTTTCTTTTATTATTAATAAATGAATAACATGTATAGAAATAAAAGATTTTTTTTGCGACTCCATAATAAAAATATTAAACTCTTATTTTCTACATTTCTTACACATAATATCCTCTTATTCAATAACAAAAAATATATATTACATATTTTTAAAAATATTTATAATATTTAAATTATATAAAAAATTTGTAATATTAATATTATTTCAACTCTATACAAATTTAATATATATGTATATATATTTTATGGGAACCATTTAAAAGAAATTTTTAAATTGACTTGAATTATATAGCTTTTAAATAAAAGTATTATTAAAAAGAAAAATAACTAAATAATGTTTAATTTCACGGGACGGGTAATATGATGGGATGGGTTTGGGTTGATATTTATAAAAGATCGTATACCACGGGTGAAATCCTAAAATTAACAATCAAAATAATCTATCAAACAAATTACATTTTGATTTTTTTAAGAAAATATAGCTCCGCGGTGTACCGCGGGTTAAAATCTAGTTTGTTGTAAATTCCACCTAAATTTCACTTAAAACCATGTAATTTAGGTATTTGTATTTTTAACTAGGAAAATTGTCTAACCACAACTCACTAAAAATCCAATACTTAATTTTGTTCCCAATAACAATTAATGGATTTAGATAATTTTAATAACTCCCTTACTTTAAGTTTCTTATTTGCTTATTTTCACTTTAATCTAAAACTAACTAAAATCCTTGATTCAATAATCATGATAAGATAAATTTGTCTCATTTGTCTAATAGGAAAACATATATATAAATAGTTTCTCTTCTTCTATATAATATATTGATCATAACAAATCTAACCTTAATTAAAGTCATAATAAAGATATAGTTTCTCTTCTCTTATAGTCATTTACAATCTAATACAATGTTTTCAATAACAGTGGATTTTAAAATACAAATCAATAGTTCAATCAATGACACTGGATTTTTTTTAAAAAAAATCCATGATTGAGTAACAGAAAATTTGTTATTATAAAATCACTTTTGGATACACCATCTTAATTTTTTTTCTTTGTCTTTTCCTTTTTGAGGAGCTTTTGTCTATGCCGTATTTGCGCATGCACTATTATATAGCCTCTCTATTTATACCAGTTGTTAAAATGTGAAAATTCTAATTTCGGTTTGCAATCCCGTCGCTTTCTTCCTTGGGAGGTCAGACAAGAATCACAAGAGATAAACAAACAATGATGTTTGCTGATCTTCCAAGTGATTTAGAATCTGAAATACTCTCTAGGGTTCCTGCCACATCTCTAAAAGAATTGCAAACTACTTGCAAACGATGGTACACTTTATTTAGAGATCCAAGATTCGTCAAGAAGAACTTGGGTAAAGCAAAGCAGCAACACATGTGATCTTTAATGATCTTCGGGGTTATCCAGTGACAGAGATGAATACTCTGATCCATAGCATCAATCTCCGTGGAATCCAAAACAGCTTTGATTCATCCATTGGGGTCGATGTTAAACTTTACGAGCTAAAGGATCCAGAACATGATAAGATACGTTGTATTATCTCTCACTGTGATGGTTTATTATTGTGCACTACCAAGGACAATAATAGTAGAGTCGTGGTTTGGAACCCTTGTACTGGTCAAACCAGGTGGATCCAATCCAATATGCTCATGAACAGTTATGTTCTAGGATATGTAAACAACAGCAACATTAACAAATCTTGCCGTAGTTACAAAATCTTGGCTTATGACTATCTTCTCACCTCCCTAGCTTATTCTCTTGCTAAGTTTGAGATCTATGAGTTCAACTCTGATTCATGGAGAATTCTTGATGAGATCTCTCCTGATTGTTTCAGACGTTCCGATGGCGTGACTTTGAAGGGAAATGCTTATTGGTTTGGTTCAAATCTAGAAAGCAAATCCATACTCAAGTTTGATTTCACAACAGAGAGATTCGGACGTCTATCGCTTCCTTTTCAGAATAATTATCGAAGTGTGTTTCTATCAGTTGTTAGAGAAGAGAAACTTGCCTTGATACAACAGAGGCTTGATACAGATTCATTAAAGATGAATATATGGGTGACCAAAACTAAGATCGATGAGGACAAAGACTTGTCTTGGAGCAACTTCTTAGTAGTGGATTTTGGTAGATTTCCGTTAACAAGTGAGACGTTGAGTTACATGAGTTTCTTGGTGGACGAGGAGAATTAAATGGTCGTGTGTTCTTCAGAGATTAGTCACATTGAAAAGAAGATTAGAATTTACTTTGCTAAAGAGGGTATACAAGTTCATCAAAAGATTGCACGGAAACCCAAAGGTTGTTGTCCATTTCTCGTCAGCTATGTTCCAAGTTTGGTTCAAATTCAGTGAGGTAATTTAAGTAATCCTGCATGCAGAGGAAAACAGGTTATTAATCAATTCAATGACCTAGTATTTTTTTCTAGTGATTCCTAAAATATGGTTGATTCTGTTTAGTTGATAAACAGAGTAGCTTAATTTTTTCTTTGCTTTTTTCCATTATTTTATTCTTATGTATCATTCTTTACCTTTGAAATTACATTTTGGTGATCTTTCTCAAATACGTTGTTGATCAGTTGATGGCGGCTGCTTAGTGAGAATGTGAGATATCAATCCTCGGTAACTTTTTCATAAAGACAGCATGTGTAAGCATATGAATACCGAAAACAAAACAGTAAAAAGAGTATAAGAAGGTTGGTGAAAATATGATTTCATTGCAACTTGTAAAGCTCCCTATGTTTCAAATCGCTTTATTGAAGTCTCTCAACGCCCTAAAGTTGTGACATTGTAATTGGATCTCTAACACAAATATCTATATATCTGTACTATCAATATATGTTCATGTTGTTTCATGAATTACATAGACTTTCTTTTGTTCAATAAAAAAAAAAAGGAATTATGGGTGACCAATAAGAATGAGACGAATCATTGGTATGTATTGATGATATACGCATGTACCTAAACAACTTCATCAAGAGATTGCACACGGACCAGCGGATTATTGGCCACTTTTCGTCAGTTAGGTTCCAAGTTTGGTTCATATACATGATACAAAAGAAAAGGTGATTAGTCAATTTAGTTACCTAGTATATTTTTAAACGAGATTAGTGAATTATTAAAACAAAGATGATTCTGTTTAAGTAATAAACATAGTAGCTGAATTCTCCTTTACTTTTGATATTTGATGTTGGTGATCTTACTCAAATACATTGTATGTGACTGCTTAAGTGCTTAGTAAGTTGTCTATCATCGTCAACTTTTTCATAAATATGTTTTCGTATATACAGAAAAGAAAAGTAGAAAGCTAAGAAGGTTAGTGAAAATGAGATAAATCATGGTATTGTTGTTTGTAATTGCACAAGAAAGCAGAATACAAAACACTTTTGAACGACGATTAGCAACAAGTAAAAATTTATCAAGTAGAAACGTCGTATCTTTCGAATTAGAGTTCTACGTTATGAGTACTAGCAAATGCAAGAAGTAAGGATGTATATGCAGGGTTATCGATAAAACTAAAAGAGTTGCTCTGGTTTTATTGTTTTGGAATCTTCATGCCTAAACCCAAATCGAAATCAAACTAAACCAAAGTTAAACCAAGAATCAGAATATCTAAAATACACTAAATTTTATTAAAACTGAAACATTTTTGTTGTCGGAAACCGAACTAGACCTAACACCTACCTAAACTGAACCGAAAACTCATAAATTCGAACGGATCCTAAATTTTCTGCCTGAAATACTTGAACCCAAAAAAAAAACTGATCCACACCCACCTAAAAATCTAAATATCTACATTTAATCTATTAGAAAATGACCCACGCGTTGCATGGTTTAGTAATATATATATTATGTTTTTATAGAAGTCAAATATTTATTATCATAATAGTTGAAGATAGTTCTAAATATTGAAAATTTGCCTAATATCTATGTTGTATTTTATTTGAAAAATATATATTTGATATTTTATATTTGTATAATCTAATGTTTAGATGCACTTTAAAATATCTATGAAATTATTATTATTATTTGTTTTTCAAAGCAATTACACATCCAACACTTAAATAAAGGTGAGTTCATTTTCATCTATAATACTATCATTGTGATTTCAGACCACTCTTTAGCCTATCGGTTTTTTTAACAAATTTTATAAATAGATTTATTTATTTATAAAATTCTTGGTTGCTATGTATTTATGTATAGTATGATGTTAAAATTCCAAAAACAAAATTATATAAACCAACAAAAAAAAAAATTGACATATATAAGGCTTCCTTAAAAGGCCTTATCAAGTGATGGCCCATAATAACTATTAACAGTTAACAGTAGAAACGAAACGTCCTATTTCACTATCTCGATAACTAAACCCATTGAGAGAAAAAGAAGTCAATAACAAAACGCCACGTAGTACATTAATAGCTTCAGCACTGTTCCCGCCTAAAATCATTACTATGTAGCAAAAGCAAATCGTCTCCCTCTTCTTCCCCAAATCCGAAACCCTAACATTTCTCTCCGCAAACACAGCAACGCTTCTATGGAAGATGGTGATCGCTCCTCGGGTTCAGGTCAAATTTCATTACTCTTGACCCTTAATTTCTAGGGTTTCTTCTTCGTTTACAGTTTCTGAATCTGTATATGGATCTACCGATTTTAGTTTTTTTACTACCTTTGTGTTATAAATTTCCTCTGATCTGAAATTCTGAATTCATAATGAGATCTTGATAATCTTGCATCATCTGCATTTTCTAGATGCGAAGAAGAAACAAAAACTGGAAGATTCTGAGGTGATTGTGGTGGATACTCGGATTCCTTCACAGGCAGAGAAAGAGAAAAAATGTCTGAGAGGTTTAGCAGAGTTACTCATACATATTGCTCGTATGAGTCTTCACTCCTTTATGCAGCATTTGGGCCCGTTTTTGCCTTTTGGTGTTTCTCAACTCGAGAAAGAAGTTCTCAAGATCCACAAAGAACGTGAAGACAAGGTCAAGAAATTTCTCAAAGGTTTTGAAGGGAAACTAAGCATCTCTTATGATCTGTTGACTTATGATGATGAATATAACAATGGACTTGTTTGGCACAAGGATTTCGTTTGTATCAGTGTCCATTTTGTTGATCATACGTCCAAGGTCGGGAAATGGATCTTGGGGTACTATCCTATCGAGTATGTACGCGGTGATAAAGTTCTGTTTGCAGAATCAAGAATGTTCTTGTGGATTATGAGATTGAGAACAAGGTCTCTGCTCTTCTAGTGTCTAATTACGGTGATCTTGGTCATGAGGAGTTTGATTGTTTAAGAAAATTGATAGAAAAGAGAGAGAAGAATCCGATTGATACTTGTTTCTTCCGCATCTACTGCTGCGCTGATCTTTTTCGGTTAATGGCTGGTGATGTGTTTGGCGATATGGACGGGCTACTAGAGGAGATCAGGGTGTTGGTTGGTTGGGGGAAAATGACATCAACCAACTGGAACGTCTCTTTGTGTAATCTTCAAGAAGCTTTAGATATGGAGGATAAGAAAGTATTTGCTGAGGATGAGTATTACCAGGAATATGACCTACCATGTGATGAAGACTGGATAATGATTCGAACTTTTTGCAAACTTGCTGGTTGCATTTATAAAGTGGCAAAGGAACTTTTTGAGGGAGAGTATTTGACATCTAATGTCTACTTCCACCTTCTTGCGGAGCTGAAGTATATGTTGAACCAAGAGCTTGCGAATGCTGATAATGATCACTTCCTCTGCAAAGCTAATGAGATATTGGAGAGGTTTGATAAATACATGAATGATATGTTCCTGGTTTTGGCATCTGCTTCTGTTTTAGACCCTCGATTCAAGATAAAGTATCTTGAGTTTTACTGCTCAAAGAATGAAGTTGATGATGAAGGTGCAAAAGCTGAAACTGTTTTGGACTACTTACGCAATCTATATGCTCACTATGCAGCTAGTAGTATCCCTCCAGAAACAGAATGCTTGGATGCTACAGTTGACTCAATTTTCTATAGCTCAGAAGAAGAAGAAGAAGAAAAAGAAAGTGAAGAAGAGGAAAGTGATGAAGAATGTGAGGAAGAAGAAGGTGAAGAAGAACATAAGGACAAGGAAGAGAAGAAGCCTGATGCATACGAGGATTTTGCTTTATTTCAAGAGTTTCTCAAGTTTGAAGGATCTTCAAGAGAGTTTGGTGAATCAGAACTCGGTTCCTATCTCAAAGAGCCGGTTATGAAGTGGAACAAAGACTTCAAAGCACTGGAATGGTGGAAAGAAGAAAGCCAAAAGTATCCAATTCTCTCCCAAGTAGCTCGTGACATTCTCTCCATACCAATCTCACGCGCCACTTCGTATGATGCTTATGTTGCTGACAGAAGGGAGTGTCCTGAATTTGTTGTCTCCATGAAAGCCGAACTTGTGAACGCCATGATGTGCAGCAAAAGCTGGTCACGACTTTGATCTGCCAAGATTTGTAACAACAAGAAAATGCTTTGGCCTTGGTGTTAAACTCATATTTCTGTTCCTTGTTTCATTTAGTCCGTTTTCCATTTCTGCATCAGTAACATTGAGAAACCTTGTTTTAGTTAAAATCAAAACTCTCTGGTCCACACTGTCCACTTTAGATTAGATGCGACGTTTCCTTTGAAGTTTCTTTGATCAAAGTTTCTAGACACTCTTCTCATATTTAAATTTCCGATGTTGGAAACCTATATTCGTTACTATGGTAATATTGGGATTGTGTGGCGATTTAAAGAAACTTAACATAAAATATGTTGTGTTTAAATGGAAATTGAAATTAGTCTTAATTTATTAGAATGTCACATTATTTTCATATTTGGTATCTTGGGTTGTTGTTAGGCAAAGTTTAAGATTTTTCCTTTCACAGAATCGAAGCATACTAAATCGAAATAATCTCATCCGTCCTCTCCATTCATTATCGACCGTCCGATCCACCGCCTCGATAATTAATCCCTAAAAAGGAAATGAAAAGATCCAATAACAAGAAGCCACGTGTACATTATTAGCTCTAGCAGCATTCCCGCCGAAATGATAAACCCTAAATAAGATCCTTGAAAATCGGAACCGTCACTTCCTTCTTTAAAACAAAAGAAAAAAAGAAAACCCTAATCCTCTCTCCGTACACTTCTTCTCCTCCAAACTGCTAGAACGTTGCTATGGACAATGGTGGCTTCTCTTCAGGTTCTAATTTCTTCTGCTCTTTTTCATTTCAGTGTCACCGGAAAAAGGTTTTGTCTGACCCTGATATATAGATCTAATTTCTAGGGTTTGTTCTGTTCCGATCTGTTTTTTATGAATCGACCCGTATGTCTTATATGTAGTGATTCTGTTATGGGTTTGAGAGTGTGTATCGATATACTAATATGGTTCATTTTTTTAGATATGAGGAAGAAACTAAAGTTGGACGATTCTGTTGTTGTTGATGAGGAGAAAGAAGCTCATAACGTTATTGCCAAGTAGTTCATTGCTACTGATGTTAATCCTAATACCATTAGAGCATGAATATCGGTTGGTTCTTAACTTTATATCTTAGCATTAATAAAATGATTTTTGTGAGTTAAGAAGAGAAAGACAATATCTTAAGAAAAAGGAGGTCCAACGGTTAAGAAGAAAGATAGTATCTTAGGGAAAAAATTCAAATTTATACAAAACAATATCTTTAACTACAAGCAATCATACATCAAAGTCATACAAGTCCTAAACCCAACCTGAAAACTCATTTGTACCATTTCTCTCTTACGATGATACTCATTCATCTGCCAAGTCCCAAAGTCATTCATTTTGTCCAAACAAACCTGAAAAACATATTTGAAACTCATTAAACTGTCCAAACCAATCAAAACTATACACAATCTAAAACAAACAAGATTTACTCATTCAGTGATTCAATATAAGCACCTAATCTAAATTATGTAAAATCAGAAGTTCAATGATATAAGAAAGAGAAAGGACAATTGTTTCAATATCTCCACCTAATCTAAAACAAACAAGATTTACTCATTCAATGATTAAATATCTTCACATATATTAAAACAAACAAGTTCATACAAGAATTACCTTACATGAGCTGTTACTCCATATGTCTGCTTGTTCTCCAATTGACCTCGCCAAAAACAGAGAAACAGATCAATAAGCCTCATCAAAAAACACTATCTGCGACATTTATCTATTTCAAGCAAAACACATTTCAAAAACGTATCAAACAGATCAATTTCATGGTTCAAAACAACATTATCTGCGATGTTAAACGGAAACAAACAGATCAATTACGAATTCCCAATCTTTTAACAACATCATATGAACCCTAATTTTTTTAAAAAAAAACTTGATGCTAACAAAATCCAACCCCAATTTGGTATGAAAACGACATGCAAACATCAGAGAACACTAATTTTGATACAGTCAATTCCCAATTGTGAAAAACCCTAATTTTTGAAGCATATTTAAAACCCTAATTTTCGATCTACAAGTGAAATCAGGGAGTTTCGTACCATTTATCCTGCAGATGATGATACAGACCAGATCAAAAATGCAATCTCCACTCAATTAACCTCTCAGTTTGACGGAGGAAGCCGAATGACAGAGATTTCTCCGGTGAAAGTTTCGAGAATTGAGGGGAGAGTGAGACGACATCGAAGAGTGAAGATAACGACTGCTCAAACACGAAATTCATGCCAAGTGCTACTCTCAATTCGACAGAATAAGACCATGAGAGCTGAAATCGTCGGCGTTTCTCGACAAAAAGAAAGAGAGAGATGTGAAATTGCGAAGAGAGAAGAAAGAAAACACTGGGCATTGGCGACACGTGTGCTTCGTAACATAAGAAATATATGTTAGTTCTGTTGTTGTTGATGAGGAGAAAGAAGCTCATAACGCTATGGCCAAGTGGTTCATTGCTACTGATGTTAATCCTAATACCATTAGGACCCGTTCCTTTGCAAAGTTTATGAGCTTCCTCGACCCCAAGTATCCTCCTAGTGTTTCTAAAGTCGAGAATGAAGTTTTTGAGATCTACGAGGAATGTAAAGACAAGGCTAAGAAATTTTTCAAGGGTTTTCAAGGACAATTAACCCTCTCTTATGAATGGATGATGCTTGGGAATGGCTGGGGGTCTAGGGACCACATTAAAGGCCCTGTTTTGCATGAGGATTTCGTCTGTTTGACCGCTCATTTCGTCGATGATTACTGGAAGGTCAAGAAAAGGATCTTGGGGTACAATAACACTACTGACCAGGAATTACCTGAGGAAGATGTTTATGTTTACTCTTTTAAGAACGCTGTTCAGGATTTTGAGATTGAGAATAAGCTCTCTACTCTTCTACTGCCTAACAGTGAGGGTTTTGATGAAGAAACCTTAGATCCTTTCAGGAAATGGATAGAGGAGAGAGGGAACAATCAGTTCAATCCTCGGGTTTTGCTACTCTATTGTTGCTCTGATCTTTTCCGGTTAATGGTTGATGATGTGTTGAGTGAATTAAGCTCGTCCCTGCTGGAGGATTTGCGTATGTTGGTTGGATGGGGAAGATGTTCAGCAACCAACTGGAACGTCACGTTGTTTCATCTGCAACAAGCTGTAGACTTGAAGTCTGAGGATGCATTCTCGAAGGATGAGATTTACGATGATTATGACAAACCGTCTGATGAAGAGTGGATTAAGATTCAAACTTTTTGCAAACTCACTGATTGCATCTATAAAGTGGCAAAGGAGCTTTTCGAAGGAGAGTATTCGACATCTAACGTCTTCTTCCACCTTCTTGCAGAGCTGAAGGTAATGTTGAATCAAGAGCTTGTGAATGCTGATAGCGATTACTTTCTCAGCAAAGCTAAGCAGATATTGGAGAGGTTTGATAAGTATTGGAACAATATGTTTCTGGTTTTGGCAACTGCATCTGTATTAGACCCTAGGTTCAAGATGAAGTATCTTGAGTTTTACTGCTCAAAGAAGGAAGTCAATGTTGAAGGTTCAAAAGCTACAACTGTTTTGGACTATTTACGCAATCTGTATGCTCGCTATGCAGCTAGCGATATCTGTCAGAAACCAATATGCTCGGTTGCTTCAATTGACTCTGAAGAAGAAGACGAAGAAGAAGAAGACGAATATGATGACGATGAAGGAGAAGAAGAAGATGATGAAGATGAAGGAGAAGAAGAAGAAGGTAAAGAAGAAGAACATAAGGACAAGAAAGAGAAGAAGCCTGATGCATACGAGAATTTTGTTTTGTTTCAAGAATATCTCAAGTTTGAAGGATCTCCAGGAGAGCTTCAAGAATCAGAGCTTGATTCCTACCTCAAAGAGCCAGTTATGGGGTGGAACAAAGACTTCAAAGCATTGGAATGGTGGAGAGAAGAGAGCCAAAAGTATCCAATCCTCTCCCGAGTAGCACGTGACATTCTCTCAATTCCAATCTCACGTGCTACTTCGTACGATGCTTATGTTGTGGAGAGAAGAGAGCCCCCTGAGTTTGTTGTCTCCATGAAATCCAAAGTTGCTAACGCCATGATGTGCAGCAAGAAGTGGTTGAGAGTTTGACGATAAAGACAATAATCGACGATCCTTTTTTTTTCACTAGTAAGAACTTAAAATGCTTTTGTGGCCTTATGAAACTCAATATCTCTGCTTTCCGTTTTAGTACTTTGGTTTCCCATTTGATTTCTATATCATTAAACATGTTTCTTTCAATGATTTTTTCTGTTAAGTTAAAATGAAATCTCTCACTGTTTCTGTTAATTTAAGATGGATATAGTAAAACAGTAATAGTTAATATTTTGCCCTTCTTAGTAGTTAAAAACTTGGAAGTCCTTTACCATGATCTGCACACATTCATATCTCAGCATACATTAGAAAGCTTATATGATGTCATTATACAGATGAATGCATCTATATATGATCAAAATTTGAGAGATAATGATAAGTCCAAAACTGCATTTGATGCTTGAAAAGTCTCTGATACCTACTGGAAAGTCCATGAGCCTGTTCGCAGCCTGAACGTGTTTTCCTTAATGATGGTTACAGACTTACAGTATATGGTGTTGAGAAATTAAAACGGGCCGAAAAGGCCAACAAAAAATAAAACAATTCATATAATATAACTAGTACCATTTTTATATCGCAAAATCGAAACATATTATTCGAAATAATCTCATCCGTCCACTGCATTCATTATTAACCGTCCGATTTACCACCTCGATAATCAATCCCCGAAAAAAAGAAACAACCAATAAAAGAAGGCCACGTAGTAAAATGCTCCAGTAGCATTTCCCGCGTAAATCATACTAGTAAAATATCCTAGAAAAAAGCTTTTGGCATTGGAAACCGGAATCGTCTCTTCTTCCTGAAAACGAAAACCCTAAATCCTCTTTCCGTACAGTTCGTCTCCCCCAAACAGCAGCAACGTTGGTATGGACAAAGGTGAGTGATATCGCATCCGGCTCTTGTTCATGTTCTAATTTCTGCTCCCCTTTTCCATTTCAGTCCAGGAATGTTTTGTCTGACCCTGATAGTTAGTTAGATCTACTTGTACTGTTTTCTCGTTGCTTTTTTCCGATTTGACCCCTAATTTCTAGGGTTTCTTCTGTTCCACTCTCACTTATCATGATTTTATCTTACGACTTTGTGAATCTATGTGTATGTCATGCTTCTATATGGCTATGTTATCTGATTTCACTCTCTATTACATATGGTTTATTTTCTCCGGGCTCATGTGTTTTGAATGTGTGTATTTTTTAGATATGAGGAAGAAACTAAAGTTGGATGATTCTGTGGTCGATGAAGAGGAGGTGGTGGTGGATGAGAAAACATTTCATAATGCTATGGCTAGGTGGTTCATTTCTGATGGGATTAGTCCTAATATCATTACGAGACCTTCCTGTGCAAAATTTATCTACTGCCTGAGCCCGAATTTTCCTCCTAGTGTTTCTCAAGTCAACAAGGAAATTCTTGAGATACACGAAGAATATAAAGAGAAAGCTAAGAAATTTCTCAAGGGTTTTCATGGCCAGTTAACTCTCTCTTATGAATGGATGGTTCTTAGCGATGAATGGACCAGGGATTACGTTAAAGGCCCTGTTTTGCATGAGGATTTCGTCTGTTTGACTGCTCATTTCGTCGATGATAATTGGAAGATGAAGAAATGGATCTTGGGCTACACTACTGACAAGAAAGTACCTATTGAAGATGTTAATATTTACCCTTTTAGGGATGCTGTTCAGGATTTCGAGATTGAGAGCAAAGTCTCTACTCTTCTATTGCCTGTCGATTTGGATTTTGATGAAGTAACTTTAGAACCTTTCAGGAAATGGATAGAAGAGAGAGGGAGTAATCAGATCAACCCACGGGTTTCCCTACTCTATTGTTGCACTGACCTTTTCCGGTTAATGGTTGATGATGTGTTCGATGACTTAAGCGGGTCGCTACTAGAGGATGTGCGTATGTTGGTTGGATGGGGAAGATTGTCACCTACTAATTGGAACCTCAGTTTCTCTAATCTGCAACGAGCTGTAGATATGAAGAATGACGATGAATTCTCATAGGGCCGATGGATTCCGATGATTATGACAACCCATCCGATGAAGATTGGGATAAGGATTCAAAACGTTTTGCAAACTTGCTGGGTTGCATCTATATTGTTGTTCTTATGTAAGCTTTTCGAGGGAGAGGTGATCCAACTTCTAACGTCTTCTTCCACCTACTTGCTGAGCTGAAGGTAATGTTGAAGCAAGAGCTCGCAAGTGCTGACAATGATTACTTCATCGGCAAAGCTAAGCAGATATTGAAGAGGTTTGATAGGTACTGGAACAATATGTTTCTGGTTTTGGCAATAGCTTGTGTGTTAGATCCTCGGTTCAAGGTGAAGTATCTGGAGTTTTACTGCTCTAAGGAAGTCAATGTTGAAGGTTCAAAAGCTGAAACTGTTTTGGACTATTGACGCGATCAATGTGCTCGTTATGCAGCTAGCGATATCTCTCAAAACCCAATATGCCCAGTTGCTACAATTTAGTCTGACTCCGAAAAAGAACATGATGATGAAGGAGAAGAAGATGATGATGATGAATATGATGATGAAGGAGAAGAAGAACAGTATGACAATGAAGTAAAAGAAGAGCAGAAGGACAAGGAAGAGAAGAAGCCTGATGCATACGAGGAGTTTGTTTTTTTTCAAGAATACCTCACATTTGAAGGATTTCAAAGAGAGCTTCATGAATCTGAGCTTGATTGCTACCTCAGAGAACCAGTTGTGGAGTGGAACAAAGACTTCAAAGCGTTGGAATGGTGGAAAGAAGAGAGCCAAAAGTATCCAATCCTCTCCCGAGTAGCTCGTGACATTCTCTCTATTCCAATCTCACGTGCCACGTCGTGTGATGCTTATGTTGCAGACAAAAGAGAGCCTCCTGAGTTTGTTCTCTCCTTGGAACCCAAGATCACTAACGCCATGATGTGCACCAAAGAATGGTTAAGCCTTTGATGATCGATCATGGCAAATTTGGTAACAAGTTCCTTCTCTTTTTTTCACTAGTAAGGAGAACTTAAAATGCTTTTGTAGTCTTCACGAACTCAATGTCTCTGTGTTTCGTTCATTTTAGTACTTTGGTTTCCCATTTCTATATCAGTAACATGTTCTTTTGAAGACATATTTTTGTTAAATCAATATGAAATTTCTCAATATTAATTACTATTTTTGTAAAATTAATTTTGAATAATTTACAAATTGTTAGAAGATGAAATTAATATGTCCACAAATTTAAAAAGTTAAGTAAATAGATAAAGATGCTTTTTCCTTTATCAATCAACAAAATGACGAAAAAAAAGAAAGAGATAAGATGCTTGAGTTTATGCAAATAAAACTCAAAAGCTATTTGAATTATAAATAGAAATATGAGATTAGATATGTAATTATAGAAATGTGTAACTTTACCTTAGATATACAAGTACTACATAAAAGTACTACATAAAATTATAGGAGTGTAAAGAACAATGTGTATTGATTGTGTAATGGTGGCGGTGTAAATTGGTTTGAAAGGTTGCACTTGCTCATGTTTCCCACGTGTTGCTCACTAGCCACCATTAATCTCTGTCTTAATTTGTATTTAACACTTATTTAAAATTGATTTGACAAATTAATGTGAACACAAGCATTTAAAAACACGTATATATAGATATTTACAATAAGATATTTTTACCAGAAATGTATAAAATAAATAAGTTTATTACATATGTCAAAAATCATATATATAATTTTCTACCAAAAATATAGTTATATATTCTCAACATATCCAGGGGTAAACCTAATTAGTTTTCTTTTTTGTAATTTATCCAAAATTAAAATGCGTCCAAGCAAAGCTTCAGTGACTCAAACATGGCTGCTTTACAGACAGCTTTGTCTTTGGAAAGATCTCTTAATCAGCTTTGTCCGTCAGTTCATAAGAAGAGCAAAATCGATGCTTTTGAGTCATAACATGGTCGCTGATTCTGCTGAGATCAGTGTTATCGATGTCAAGTCTCATCTCTCCGTTGGGAAAGATCCTAGTAACTTTCAGATTGCTGAAATTCGAATTCATGATTCAATCTGTATTGAGATTCCGGGCTCTGAAGAAACGCCTCTTTTAGGATCGGTATGTGTTTGGGTTTTGTTTATTTTCTCTTTTTGTAATCTCAATTTTGCTACTTTTGAGTTTTTAGGACTCTGTGCCATTGCAGATTCTTCGATGAATTCGAAGTTAGGATTTGAATTGGATTGGATTGATAAAGTCTTATTCTTTGATAATTCCGCTGACTCGTCTAGTCATGGATTTTAATTTGGGTTTTTTGATCATCACCGTCTAAGGTCTAACAATGGTTAATTTTGCATCAATACTTGACTTAATTTTAGTTCTTTTTCTTTGTTATTTTCATTTGAATCCTTAAGAATGTGATTTCAGCTTTTTCTGGATCAAATTGTTTGTTCTGTTTTGTGAATTCTCTGTTGGGTTTGTGATGATGTTGTGGAGGAGAAGGAACAACTAAACACTAAACAAGCTCCTCTTATGTTACCTTTTTTCCCAAACAGGTCAAGAGTTGTTCTGCAGCTGCAACGATTGTTGAAGAGCCTTTTACTGAGTTTGTCCCAAATATAAGCTCTGGGAGTTATGCGGATAAGGGTGACTACCGGGAGTACATGGAAGATGAACACATATGCATAGACGACCTTTCAGATCATCTTGGGTCTTCCTTCTATAGATTTCCGGTGCCTGTCGCTTTCTACGGTGTATTTGATGGCCATGGTGGATCTGAGGCATCACAGTACATAAAAGAGAATGCAATGAGATTGTTTTTTGAAGATGCTGTTTTTCGAGAATCGCCCTCTGTTGTCGACTCTCTTTTCTTGAAAGAACTGGAGAAATCTCACCGGGAAGCTTATAGGGTTGCTGATCTTGCCATGGATGATGAAAGAATAGTTAGCAGTTCGTGCGGAACAACCGCATTGACCGCTCTTGTAATCGGAAGACATTTAATGGTCGCTAATGCTGGCGATTGTCGTGCAGTGCTATGTAGAAAAGGAAAAGCTGTTGATATGTCATTTGATCACAAATTTACATTTGAGCCAGAACGGAGACGGGTAGAGGATTTAGGAGGGTACTTTGAAGGCGAGTATCTCTACGGTGACCTTGCTGTGACAAGAGCTCTTGGAGACTGGTCAGTTAAGAGGTTTTCACCCCTCGGTGGTTCTTTCTCACCTCTGATCTCAGACCCGGACATTCAACAGATGATTCTAGCCGAGCAAGACGAATTCTTGATTATGGGATGTGACGGTATTTGGGACGTGATGACAAGCCAGTATGCTGTCACTTTCGTCAGGCAAGGACTAAGGAGACACGGTGACCCAAGAAGGTGCGCTATGGAACTGGGAAGGGAAGCGTTAAGGCTAGACTCATCAGATAACGTTACAGTGGTGGTCATCTGCTTCTCATCATCCCCAGCTCCTCAGAGAAGAAGAATACGGTTCTGTGTTTCCGATGAAGCCCGAGCTCGGTTACAGACAATGCTAGAAGGCTAACTGATGAAGGTTTTTGAGCGGTCTTGAGGAGGGGACAATGTATATATTATAGCAACAGAGATGGATTTTGACTTTTGAGATAACCCTGCCAAGGCCAAATTATTTGATGACATTATTACATCTCTCTGATATCGGATGAAATAAAAAGAAGCCATTTTTGATCTGTTTGTTTGGCTATTTATTCTGTAGGATTATCGAAGCACTTATGTTACAAAAACTGATTAAGATCTAAGGAATTCAGGTGATTCAGTTAATCAACTAATTATCCCCAATTTCTTTGAAAATTGCGAACTTATGTTACAAAAACTGATTAAGATCTAAGGAATTCAGGTGATTCAGTTAATCAACTAATTATCCCCAATTTCTTTGTCCCATTTTGATGTACTTGTGTAGTGGTTGATCATATATTTTAGTATCAATTTTGTTCTTATGTGTATGATGTATAATTAATTAAACACTCATCTTGGATTATTAGGGTTATCATCATAATAATATGCTTAATTGCTTCTAGATCCTCTTAACTATGATTAACGAAAATAAAAGAAAAAAAAATCGGGGAAAAAGCGAAGAGGTCCTTTTTGTTTTCGTCTTTATTCGACTTTTCAAAGAGCCCAAAGTCTCTCTTCTCCATCTCTCTCTCTTAAGAAACTTCACAGGAAGAAGAACAAAACAACAACAACGATGGCTATGGCGAGCTTAGCTAGGAGAAAAGCGTACTTTCTCACCAGAAACATCTCTAATTCTCCCACTGACGCTCTCAGATTCTCTCTCTCCCTCACTCGCGGCTTCGCTTCGTCGGGATCCGACGACAACGACGTTGTCATCATCGGCGGCGGTCCTGGAGGCTATGTGGCGGCGATTAAAGCGGCGCAGCTCGGTCTCAAGACAACTTGCATCGAAAAGCGCGGCGCTCTCGGTGGTACTTGCCTTAATGTCGGCTGTATTCCTTCAAAGGTGATTTTAGAAACTCCTTTTTCGATTACCTCGATTCGTCAGATTTTTCTCCGATTTTTGTTTCGGTGATCATCATTTAGATTCGATCTGAGGGTTAGATTGAGCTTGAGGTTTAAGAAATGATTGTGTGATGATACTTATTCATTACTCAGATCTGTTTGTGCTTGATTCCTCAGAAATGGAACTATTTGCCTTTGAATTTTTGTATCTCTTAACAAATTTTGTTCTCGTTGCATATGCTGGATCATGATCCTCTCTTGATTCGTTGTCCAAAGCAAAAGTTCTATGGAACTCGCATTTTCGTAGAGCATGAATGTGATAGATGTTAATAGCATTACTTTTTTTGTTGTCTGATTGTGTTAGTCTCTTCCGCAAACTGTTTAGCTTTGATAAATATATATGACATTATCTAATTTAGCTTATGTTTTATTAGGCCCTTCTTCACTCTTCTCACATGTACCATGAAGCAAAACACGTTTTTGCTAACCACGGTGTTAAGGTTTCTTCAGTTGAGGTAGATCTTCCTGCTATGTTGGCTCAGAAAGACACAGCCGTCAAGAATCTCACCCGTGGTGTCGAAGGTCTTTTCAAGAAGAACAAGGTAAACTATGTTAAGGGCTACGGTAAGTTTCTGTCCCCATCAGAAGTCTCTGTGGACACAATCGATGGAGAAAACTTGGTTGTGAAAGGCAAACATATCATAGTTGCAACTGGCTCGGATGTCAAGTCTTTGCCAGGCATCACCATCGATGAAAAGAAGATTGTCTCATCAACTGGGGCACTGTCTCTGACAGAAATCCCAAAGAAATTCATAGTCATTGGTGCTGGCTATATTGGGCTCGAGATGGGTTCTGTATGGGGACGGCTCGGATCAGAGGTTACAGTTGTTGAGTTTGCAGCGGATATCGTACCAGCAATGGATGGTGAAATCCGCAAGCAGTTTCAACGTTCACTAGAGAAGCAAAAGATGAAATTCATGCTGAAGACTAAAGTCGTCGGCGTAGATTCATCTGGAGATGGTGTGAAACTAATAGTGGAACCTGCTGAAGGTGGAGAGCAGACCACTCTAGAAGCTGATGTGGTCCTCGTCTCAGCTGGTAGAACTCCGTTCACATCTGGACTTGATCTAGAGAAAATCGGAGTTGAGACAGACAAAGGCGGGAGAATTCTGGTGAACGAGAGATTCTCGACAAATGTTTCAGGCGTTTATGCAATTGGAGATGTGATTCCAGGACCAATGCTGGCTCACAAAGCCGAAGAAGATGGTGTCGCATGTGTCGAGTTTATAGCAGGCAAACACGGTCATGTGGATTACGACAAAGTCCCTGGGGTTGTCTACACGTACCCTGAAGTTGCCTCAGTTGGTAAAACTGAGGAGCAGCTGAAGAAAGACGGTGTAAGCTACAATGTCGGAAAATTCCCATTCATGGCCAATAGCAGAGCCAAGGCCATAGACACAGTAGAGGGGCTGGTCAAGATTTTGGCTGATAAAGAGACAGACAAGATCTTGGGAGTTCACATTATGTCACCAAACGCAGGAGAATTGATCCATGAGGCGGTTCTAGCTATCAACTATGATGCATCAAGCGAAGACATTGCTCGAGTCTGTCATGCTCATCCCACCATGAGTGAGGCTATCAAGGAAGCTGCCATGGCTACCTATGACAAGCCCATTCACATGTAGAAGCTCTCAGGTATATCATGGTTTAGTATTTGATTCTGTTTCGGTTGATGACATTCTTGGTTTTTCGGGTTTTGATTTTTCTTTTGTGTGTGTTGATGCGTATACTAGGAGATGTGGATTGAGGGAGAAGGAAGTAAAGCCGCCTACGACAAGCCAAATCGAGATTGGTTTTCTGATTTCGGTTTAAACCTTTGATTTTTAATTTCTGGTGGATACGAGATGAGCTTAAAGAAGATACTTTTACCACTCTTTTTATTCGTTAAATCTTCTCCAGATTTTCAGTTCCGGGTTAGTCCCGACTATAGTAATAATTTGATATGCTCAATGAACCAAATGTGATTAATCAGGTTTGATCGGTGGTTTAGGCTTTGTTTTGTTGACTGATTTTTGGTGAAAGAGTATAAACCAAATTCGATATGATTTTTTCACTGTATGATTGTGTTCAGTTCTCTGATTTCAGTTTGCTTCCAAATTTTGGGACATGGTGTGTTTCCTTTCATCTGTATTATGCTCTCAAGATATTTACCATTTACATAAAAGGTTTGAAAAACGATAGTTGATTAGTAGGATAAAAACACTCAAAAGGAGATATAAAAGACAGTTTGGAATCCAGACACTCATCCATAGAATTCTTATGTTTCGATTTGGGAATTGTGTATGATATGATATATTAATAACCCAATTTTGAAATCTTTTCAAAAAAAAAAATTCCTATAAGTGTAAGATTTTATTTTGTTTCAAAAATGGCAATTATTAATATTTCAAAGATTTTTTTCTTAATGTATCAATTGAATAATGGTAAATTGCTAATTATATTGAATAATTATGTATATTAGTATGCAATAAGAACCTCCCACCTCTGAAATAATTATCCTTCCGCAACCAAGACAATGGCTTATCCTTGCGTCAAAAGAAACGTATTTTCACTTCTTCCTCTACTCGTTCTTCTATCAGTCACCCCTTTGTCTTCATCTTTGTCTCCGAGTGACAAAATCACAAAAGACTTACTTTACTACCTCTGCACAGAACCAAACATTGACAGCAGCTTCTGCATCCCTTGGCTAACCTCTGATCCAACAACATTCACTCTCGACCTACAAGGTCTTCTCGATTTGGTCTTCCAAAAGACGCAATTGTTGGGCTATAAGAGCCTAGCGGCGATGAAAGGCTCAGTGAGAACCATGCCTGGTTCGACGCTCAAGATCCCATTTGAGACTTGCGTGAAAGATTATGAATCAGCCATTAAATCGATCGAGGAAGCTCAAGGGTTTCTGACCTCTAAGGCGTACGCGTTAGCATCTCAAGGGGCTGCTAAAGCCTTCATTAGTATATCAGTGTGTGAAGCTCAGTTTGAAGGACGGGCTGATGTGCCGGCTTATGTAGTGAAACTCAATTTGTTTTTTAAAAGAATGTGTAACATTGATAGGGTTTTCTCCAACGCTTTGACTTAAAAACCAATAAATGAATAAATATTTTAGTCAACTGTTGGAGTATATCTTAGCTAAGAATGAAAAAAACTTTCATCTCTGGTTACTTCTGGTGTAAATTTATGACAATTATATCCACATAACCTTTAATATTTGCCTACACTAAAACTTTCTTAGTGCCAAAAATCATGAACACATATTTGTGAATGCACTTCCCACATCTAATGTATACGCATAATTATTCGCCACATCCAAGACAATGGCTTTTCCTTGCGTGAAAAGAAACGTATTTTCAATTCTTCCTCTTCTCCTTCTTTTATCAATCACTCATTTGTATTCATCTTTGTCATCGAGCAACAAAGTCACAAAAGAGTCACTTTACCAACTCTGTCAAAACAAACAATTTACAACCACTTCTGCATCGCTTGGCTAACTCTGATCCAACAACGTTCACCCTCAATTTAAGGCAGGAGTAAGGAAGCTATTTGCTGCATTTGTATTCATATTTGCTAACGAAGAAATTGAAGATTGAAGGGAGGAGGCTAGCTTTCCCCATGCCTTTGCAGGGTGGTTATCCAGATCAAAACCAGCTTCTGCGCTTATGGCATACATCAATTTGGTCTCAAGTAGCTCTTTGCTGCATCATTGACAAGAAGACATGTTTAATTTCCAATTACAGCAACAATTTGCAAGAGTAGCTATTTGATAACAAAACAAGTCTCTTTAATTGCAAGAGAATTCTTATGTTTAGATTTGGGAATTTTGTATATATATAGATAACCCTCGACATGGTGCGTTTCCTTTCATATGTATTATGCTCTCAAGATATTTACCATTGTCATAAAAGGTTACAAAAACGGTAGTTGAATAGTACGATAAAAATACTCAAAAGAAGATACAAAACAAAGTTCGGAATACGGACATTCATTCAAAGAATTCTTATGTTTCGATTTGAGAATTTTGTATGATATGATATAAATACAAATTGGCAATGAGTGGATTGGCCCTAACCCTTATGGCATACATCAATTTGGTCTCAAGTAGCTCTTTGCTGCATCATTGACAAGAAGACATGTTTAATTTCCAATTACAGCAACAATTTGCAAGAGTAGCTATTTGATAACAAAACAAGTCTCTTTAATTGCAAGAGAATTCTTATGTTTAGATTTGGGAATTTTGTATATATATAGATAACCCTCGACAGGGCCGGCCCAAAGATTCATGATACCTAAAGCCCAACAAAATTTGATGCCCATTTACAACAACTAAAAATAAAAAAAAATTAAAATTTACAGTTGCCAGGGATCGAACCCTCAACAATCTATCCTTAAGTGACCTAAATACCACTAGACTACAAGACACTTTTATAATTTTGATGCCCTTTAAAATACATATAGAATTTGACGCCTAAAGCATCTGCTTGCTGGGCTTTAGGTCTGGGCCGGCCCTGACCCTCGACATGGTGCGTTTCCTTTCATATGTATTATGCTCTCAAGATATTTACCATTGTCATAAAAGGTTACAAAAACGGTAGTTGAATAGTACGATAAAAATACTCAAAAGAAGATACAAAACAAAGTTCGGAATACGGACATTCATTCAAAGAATTCTTATGTTTCGATTTGAGAATTTTGTATGATATGATATAAATAGATAACCCAAAATTTTGAAATCTTTTCAAATAAAAATTTCCTGAAAGTGTAAGATTTTATTTTGTTTTAAAAATGGCATGATTAATAATTCAAAGATTTTTTTCTTAACTTATTCAATTGAATAATAATGGTGGATTGCCAATTATATTGAATTAAAGAATAATTCCATAGAAGGTGATTAATTAGCCCCCTGAATTGTTCGTTCCCACATTAATTTGAGTCAACAATTGACTATGAAAAACAAATTTGGGTAACATTTCATTAACAACACCAAGCTAAAGCTTGACTTTTGTCATACAAAAACTATGTATATTAGTATGCAATAAGAACCTCCCACCTCTAAGTATACGCATAATTATCTTTCCGCAGCCAAGAAAATGGCTTATCCTTGCGTCAAAAGAAACGTATTTTCACTTCTTCCTCTACTCGTTCTTCTATCAGTCACCCCTTTGTCTTCATCTTTGTCTCCGAGTGACAAAGTCACAAAAGGATTACTTTACCAACTCTGCACAAAACCGAACATTGACAGCTACTTCTGCATCCCTTGGCTAAACTCTGATCCAACAACATTCACCCTCGACCTACAAGGTCTTCTCGATTTGGTCTTCCAAAAGACGCAATTGTTGGGCTATAAGAGCCTAGCGGCGATGAAAGGCTCAGTGAGAACCACGACTGATCCGACGCTCAAGATCCCATTTGAGACTTGCGTGAAAGATTATGAAGTAGCCATTAAAGCGATCGAGGAAGCTCAAGGGTTTGTGACCTCTAAGGCGTACCCGTTAGCATCTCAAGGGGCTGCTAAAGCCTTCATTAGTATATCAGTGTGTGAAGCTCAGTTTGAAGGACGGGTTAATGTGCCGGATTATGTAGCGAAACTCAATTCATTTTTTAAAAGAATGTGTAACATTGATAGGGTTTTCTCCGACGTTTTGACTTCTTGATTCTTTATGTATCTTTCACCTGCAAGATGGCAGAAACCCTTCAATGTCATTCACTCTGTTGTAGTAACTTAAAAACCAATAAATGAATAAATTCTTAGTCAACTATTATGTCTTGCATCTTAGCTTAGAATGAAAAAACTTCCATCTCTCGTTACTTCTGGTGTAAATTATGACAATTATATCCACATAACCTTTAATATTTGCCTACAGTAAAACTTTATTAGTGCCAAAAATCATGAACACATATTCGTGAATGCAAATCTACCTAAAGAAGAGAGGTCAGGAAAGTAAGTTAGAAGAATACTAATCAGATAACTAATCTCTGCACTAATGCTAAGAATAGCAAAGTGTTTCTCTCTCTTATATTAGGACTTGTGGTCTAACTAAGAATCAGAAAGAGCAACAACCCATTCCAAGAATTTCTATTATTAGTTCTAGTGGAAGCAATCAATCGCGAGTATCTATAAATATGAACACTCAGGCATAGTAAGGGAATAACTTAATCATCTATCAAAGAACATAAAAAAGAAAAAAGCAAAGATGGCAGCATACCTGATGAACAGAGTTATTGTGTCTTCTCTGATGTTTTTTGTAATGATTGGTGCCTTGAATGCACAAGTAGCAGACATAAAAGCAATCTGTGGGAAAGCGAAAAACCAATCCTTCTGCACTAGCTACATGAAATCCAACCCAAAGACCTCAGGTGCTGATCTTCAAACGCTAGCAAAGATCACCTTTGGTTCTGCACAAACAAGTGCATCAGAAGGTTTCAAGAAAATTCAATCCCTAGTCAAGACAGCAACCAACCCCACTATGAAGAAAGCATACACCTCGTGCGTACAACATTATAAGAGTGCAATCAGCAGTCTCAATGATGCTAAGCAGAGCCTGGCGTCAGGCGATGGGAAAGGGCTGAACATTAAGGTCTCAGCAGCTATGGAAGGACCTTCAACATGTGAACAAGACATGGCGAATTTCAAAGTAGATCCTTCAGCTGTGAAGAACAGTGGTGATTTTCAGAATATTTGTGGCATTGTTCTTGTCATCTCAAACATGATGTGAGAGTGGGCTTGATTCAATCTCCCTTCATAACTCGTTAGACAATTACATTAAACAATTATACGTGCATATTTACTTGTACAATAAAAGAACTTGGGTCTCAAAAATAATCTGAAATCAAACACTCTTCATTATCAAGTAAACTCATGATCTTTTACACATCAAGTCTAATGCAACAGAAGGAACCCAAAAAAAAAAAAAAAAGAGAGATAGAAGAAATTCACACAGAATCATGAGAACAATGCAGGAAAACCAAAGGCCATCATAACGCAAAAAGAAATAGCTTTATTCGACATACATACCCGAGAAAAAAAGATGAAAGAGGAAAATGCTGCTGCAACACATAATTAGAGAGAGACAGAGGTAGGCTTGTAGTCAATAACCAATGCTTTATCCAAGCTGCCAAGAAAGATGGTGGCGAATTCAACGTGAGCAGGATGAGCAATGTACTCTGCAACAGCTTCTTTGGTCTCAAATGTGGATTCAAAGATGTGTGTGTAACCTTGATGCAGATTCTCAATGCTCACATCTTCTCCCCTAAAATTATAGAATAAATCAGTAAGACAAGAGCAGATTCTCGCAAATTCAATGATTATTTCCAAAAGATCATCGATGGAGATGGATTCTCTATCTTATGAAATTAGATCAACAATTGTTAGTAATTAAATCAATTTCCCCAAATTGCATAGTTTAGAATAAGGTTCTACAAAATCATATTCAGTAGATGATAATGGATCTCGAGCATATTTCTGACACTAGGAAGCAATTCAGATCTAAATTTACTGACCAGTGGAAAGCTTTCATAGGTTCGATGAGATTGACGAGATTGGCGTAACCTTTGATAAGCTCTTCGATTGTCTCAGGGCTTACGCCATCTTTGAACTTAGCAAGCAATACGTGCTTCACCACCGCTCCCTTAGCTTCCGCCATTTTTGATCCTCTGCGATCTCCACTGATCTCTCTCTCAACTCACACAAGTCTAAGTGAAAATGGACGGTCAAGATCTTTGTTTGATTAAAAGAGCGCGTTTGTGACGTGCAACTACGTTCGTCGGATTACTTATTATTCTTCGTTTTAGAATGTATATTATTACTGTTACCAGTACAGTAACTTCAATGTATATAGTTTAATCGTTACAGGTCGAGCTAACATAATACTATATCTTTGTTTTCCTAAGAAACGACTAAATGACAATCTCAACCAAAAAAGAGACTCAAGTCAAAACTCTTGATGATATGGTATGATGCAAATAATTTACAAATAATCATCTATATGTAACATATGCATCAATTAACCAAAAAATTTACAGCATTTGAGTTCCAAACTTGAGACCTGTCTTATTTACCATTTATTTTATTGAATTTTTAACCCAATACTAACTCTTTAGGCACCTCCACATAAGACTTCCCCGTAATCACCCTTTTTTTTCTTTGTTTTGGACACATTTTTTAAAGCGAAAACCCGAAGGCTGCAAATGAAACCCATTAGTTAAGTAATCTCTACTACATGTTCCCCTTCTAGATCCGTCTCTTAGATGCTTAGAGCCAACAAGCCTGCCTCAGTCTACAGGTAACCGGTTTATACCATAACCAAGGAACGCTAGATAAAAGGGTGTCAATTTGGGGCCATGCAAGTCTGTCTTTTAAGGCTCAGCTCAGATCAAAACCCGCTTCTGCGCTTATGGCGTACATCAACTTCGTCTCAAGTAGCTCTTTGCTGCATCATTGACAAGAAGACAATGTTTAATTTGCTTTCTCCAATTACAGCACCAATTGCAAGAGAAGCTATTTGGTAACAAAAGAAGTCTCTTAACTGAGCAAAACCAAAGAGATTGTGCTATGAGAGGACAAACCTTTGATAAGGCGGAAGCTTAAGAAGATTCATACAAGTGGCTGATGTAGGTAGTCTATCAACTGATTCATTACTCGCACTACCGGCAGCCCTGAAACAAATTTCAAACGAGGATGGATCTTTTATCATTCTGTTGTTGTCCAAAGCCCATCAAAAGTCAAAACGTTTGAGTATTACCTCTGTATGCAGAATGCAGGTTCCAAGTATTTGAAACCGAGCAGTGGTCCTCGAGAACAGCCCGTCACAAACCTGAAATTGAAGATGATAAGAGGTACCTCTTAGTTCTCTTAAAGAAAATAAATAGACTCCGTTAATCATTGGGTACACAGACTGTAGTAACTGAAGTTGGCTTACTTTAAGAACTTCTTCTGGTTTTCAGTTGAGAAGCTTTTCATAACTTCCCAGAACATATCGATCACATAATGTCCCTGTCAAGAACATAGCGATGTAATCATATAAAAATGTTCCAAAAATGTCCCTACACTAATTCACAATGGCATTTTGGCTGACAGTGAAGAACCACTCACCGCGTGGTAGCCTCCAGCATAATTAGTGTTGTTTCGCAAGTCGTCAATATCCAAACTGTCAACTGAACCAGATATGAGAACCTGCAACCAAAGCCCACAAAGGTAAAATTTATCTGTTCATGCTCCCCGAGGGAACAACTAACCGAAGCAAGTATAATAATAAACTTATATCCATTGGCACCTGAAGCTCATGCTCATTGAACATGTCGATCCATTCTTTTGGAATGAGTTGCTGAAACCCCCTCAAGAAATGAGAACTCTGCTGGCGTATCTGCAACCAAAAAATGAGATGATATCAAAAGCTGTTGATTTACAGGGTGACCTCAGGTATGCCAAGATAAATGATAGGTAAGTGGTTCCCAAGTACCTGAAAATTTAACCGATGATTGGAAACCAGATGAATGAAAGTTATAACATTCTCATTTGTAACTCGCATGTCTTGTCCCCCTGGAAGTAGCTCTTCCTCTGTCCTCTCTCCATATTCATTATTCAAAATAACAAAGTAAAGCTCCAAATCTGAGATATCACCCTTATAACGCTGCAAAAATATCATATGTCAAAAGTCTTGTAGGTGGTAAACAAACAATTTCAGTTTCGAAAGAAAAAAAAAAAAAAACAGATTTCAGCTTTCTCGCACATCTATGCTAGCAGCTATCTCCCCGTTCTATAAAGCAACAACTAATAGAATGTTCAGCAAAACTCACCTTCAGAAATATAAGGTGCCTATACAACTCAGGATCCAGAGAAGGCAAATCGTTCAAATAGTTGTACCTAGCAAAAGAACAATAGAAGTTTCACAACATGTTCACAAGGTCTATGCGGGCTTAAAAAACAAATGAAATGACAGGAAGTTGAGGCTGGAAATTAAATTTACATACTTTTGTTTCAGTTTGCTGAGGAAAAACGTTGCAAATGGTATATCAACTAGAATCCCTTCAAACATTGCCTGCAACAAGATAACGGGAAAAAATTCCATGAGTCTTGTCATAACAGATGAAAATCAACTTTAAATAACGACAAAAGCCCAGTTCAATAACTTTTCTATGAAAACATCAAGACAATTATACGCCTACTAATTCTATTTGCATGAAAACATGGCGAGTGGAATCAGTAACGTATCAAACGTGCCGTACACTTTAAGCATGATGGTTTGCTTTCTGTCCTATATATAAAAGTTAGAAGGATAAAAATGGTAAATTATACGAGGCCCGCATCAAGGCCACCCAATCAAATACCATACTTTTGCAAGAAGACTGCCGAGAAAATGAAAGAACTGGAGATGCTGGTCATGTATCATTCCTGACCCAGGATTAGGATAAAGCATATGATCAGCCGTCTCCTGAAAGAAAGCATGTACAAGATTCAGAGGAAGAAAGACGACTACATGCAAACATGATGGAGTAAGGTAAATTATAAAATCCACAAAAACTTTGGTGAGCAAAACTAGATAAATGACCTTAAACAACCCGTATTGCACATCAAAGGCAGCTCGGGTAATTTTCTCCATGAAGTCTTTGAAAATGCCACCACCATCAATACCAGCTTCCTCAACTCCGAGTTCATTGACAAATGTCACGCGAATCTACACTCAGTAGTTATTTGCATCATAAGTATCGCAACATAGAAACAAATCAGAGACACAGGAACGAAAATATGGATCTGTTTCAATAGTGAGCCAAGCAATTGCTAGAAGACACATATCGGGCAAGAACTTACCGACCCCCGGAGATCATCCTCTGACAACGCACTCATTTGATTGTAAGCATCTTCCAAGATATGATCTCTTCGTATTCTGAACCGATTTCGAGCAAAAATTCCTTGCGATCCATGACTCTGCCTTGCCGTTGCTAATTGTGTCTGCAAATGATGACCAGCCGCAGCCAAGTTATCAGTGAACAAGTACATACAATATTTTCTCATATTTACCCAGATTACTTCTGCAAGTATATGTTAATTAGCTCTTCTAGGTTCCTCAAAACGTACAAATGATAATTATTCATCAGATATACATATCCCAATAGCCACTTACTGTGAATATTTTGACTCTGCTTGTAAACGGAATCAAGAACGGAGCTTGCATCAGTATGTAGTTGGCTCTCGTTCCTTCCACTATGGCCTGAATAAAGGAAAAAATATCAACAATGATAGGGGACAAGACCAATATCAAAAATGATAGATAACGAAACTTTCATAATGTTAGCACGTCACAAACATTAAACGAAATAGCAGTGTAGTAGTCACCTGAGAGATGAAATATTCATTGACTGTATCAGCTTGGAAGTCACTCGAGGAAGTGAATTGTTGCCGGTTGTTCCAATCTTGCAGCTACAGAAGATTTTATCAGCAAAGGGGATAAAATGAACAGTGAACTTTGCCAAGTTTTACTGACTTAGAGTCAATATAGCCATAGTTGGTCAAGGAGTATTAACTTCTTTGCAGCACATACCTGTGAAAGTAACTCAGAGACTACAACCCCAACCCTGTTCTGAATCAATTCAACAGGGTTCTTCTTCGAGAGGTCATTGGAGACAGATTTCCCAGTGTTAGGTTGCGTAAGTGGATTTACCCATAATAACTGCCATAAAGCCTGGACAAGAGAGCGAAGATACACAAAGATATGAAAAACTATAATCATGGCACATAAGATACTATTTTTCTGGTGAGCCCAATAAAAGCTAGTGTATAAAGATTAGCAGAAAATTGAACAACCACTGCAACAAAGCTACCATATGAAAACGCAGAGTCAATCTAGCTTATTATATGAGATTCATCAAAACACTTACTTGCTTAAGAATAATGATGAGCAACCTGATATCTTGTAGCGATAATGGCTTCTCTCGTTCATAAAACTCCTCATTGTCGACTATCATAAGCATATGCCTGATCATCAACGACAATGTTAAACCAAGTATTAAACCACCCTCACAAGACACAACACTAATATACCTATAGTCATACGAGAGAGTGACTTTCAAGTAGTACTACAAAAAATTTGGCATTAAATCAAGCAAACCTTACTTATAAACAGGACAAAAAACAACCAGAGGTAATAGCCAACCCGGAGCATCCCCTGGAAGGTAAGCTAGGAGTTTAGGCATGGATGACCACTTCTGGTTCTCATGGCATCGTTTCATATAATTCCACAACACAGCTACAAGCTCGGTCCTATAAGCCAAAATTGTCATGATCCGCTCAAGAGGGAGAGTGTTGAATGCTGCATACAGAAAAGAACTGGCTGTGCCAATAGCTAATGCTTCTTTATCTTCGTCATATGACTGCGTACCAAGCGAAACTTGATGGAACAAAACATTTGTCTGCAGGGATGAAACTAAGATTACTTAAGATTAAAATTAAAGAATTACTTGATCCAGGTCCAGGTGAGGCATAGCACTTAAATAAGAACAGAGGAGGCATAGCACTTAATGTGCTTTCATATGACAGAGAGTAGGTACATACTAACTGCAGAAGAAAACGTGAGTCTATAGCATTGGTTATCTGGTGCTCAAGTGCCCTATTCAAGACTAATTCTGGTACATCGTCAATTAGCATATCATCCTCATCAGAAGAGCCTGAATCAAGATAAAAGTGCAAGTCTCTTTCAGAACAAGATCAAATTTTATGAAGAACTACTGCGAGCAGAATGGAAAGGAAATCTTTAGGATCACAAAACAATGCCACGAGCGAAGAGTAGTATAGCAAGGAAAAATGCCATACTCTGTCTGCTTTCTTTTTCTGATGATTTCACAGGAGGAAGTGTCTCCAATAAGAAAGTTGCAACTAATGCAATGTCAATTGCCTGGTCAAAATAAATAAAGAAAAACAAAGCAACATTAGAATCAAACAAAACTGGGTTTCTACAAATATATCTATTTGTAACGTTTCCAAACACTACAAAAGCACATAACTTGTGGATCTTCAGCAATAGAGGAAAACAACACTTCCAATCGTAAAAGCGATTGTATAGCAGCAAAGATAAAATAGATCAATTCATTCAGAAACACTACCTTACAAGTTAATATATATGTGGCACTATCACCTGTAGCAAACACTAAACTCTTATATAAGAAGATAATGTTCAAAATCTATATATATTAGACATAAGCTGTTGACTACTGAACACAAGGTCCTCTTCGCAAATCTACTATATATGAACATCGCAAAGTGAAAATCACTAACGAAAAAGGAAAAATTCAAGTAATCATGCACTAAAAGAACAACCACAGTAGCGAACACAAACACACAAATACAATAAATCAACTGCATAAGGAACCTACCATGTCTAATGAACATTCAGGCTGTGACAACACCACATTTGCAGTGTCCAACGTATTACCAAGCAGGCAAGCATAACCAGGGAATTCTGGGCTTGTTTCCATTGGGAGAACACAGGTATCCTTTTGAATACAGGAAGCCATCTGGTGAATGTAGTGTTGACTTAGACTTGGGTTGGCAAAGACCTGGACAATGAAACTATGAGTTTACCGAAAATAGATGCTCACAGTTGAGATAATATTTAGCTCAGGGTCAAACACAAACTTGTAAGAAACCAAAAGCTATCATATTTTACATATATTTTGATTAGCGTCTATCCGTGACTAAACAACATGAGTTCAAGAACCAACCACTTTCAAGTTTGGGAAGAGCTTCCATATCAAAGGTATTGTAAGAATCATAGATGAGAAACTACAACGTGGATCAACAACAGGGCAGCAACATGGCTCACGGCCAATATGTGGTACTATCAGTGTCAAGACTCTTTCTAGTGAAAGGATGCTGCCGGTCATTGTCTGACCTCTTGAGCTTTCCTGCAACAAACCACAATTGCTTCAAAAGTATAGATTGCCAACTAGATGGTGGGGCATAATCATTGGGAACTGTTGAAAGTACCTTAGCCGTAGTGACCATTTCTCGCACCAGTTTGAATACGTTCTCTTTATGTAGATAACTAACTATTTTGCAGACCCAAGGCAGCTTAGGATCTAGCAACAACGACACTGCCTCCATCAAGATAGCTGTTGAAATGCTAGCTTCTTCAGGAGTAACTAAGAGCTGATCCCTTAAACGGTTCCTGATGATTTAAATCATAAGGAGGCAAAACTGAATAACTTAATAACAGAACTGACAAAGCCAAGATAGCGACAGTTGGTCCCAGTTTGATAGAAGAAGGGCTATTGCTTGGATATGCTCTACAAAATGAGAGATGACAAAATATATATATTACCTATTCTGGTGTATAGCTTCAATACAGGTAAATGCAAGTTTCTTTACTCTAAAATCCACCAAATTATGCTTAGAGGAATAGTCCAAGCCAGAAAAAAGGCTGACAATGTCACCTGTCATATGATGAGAATTTGTAATATATCAGTAAGCAAGATCTCAGTCATTATTGGAAAGAAATTAGAGAAAAGATTGTCTGTGAAGCAAAAAAAAATAATAATACAGTGTATATGTGTGAGGATGTAAACAGCAAATGGGAGACTAAATTTGTGGTGAAAGGGATATTCCTCACACAATGTTCTAATTTTACTGCTCGTAAGATAAACATAATAAACAAGAGTATGAAAGCCATAAAAAAACATATTAAGCAAAATGAAGACTTGGAACATGCTTCCCCTTACATAAGAGTTACCAAGAAAGGAAAAGCACTCTGATCAAACCCATGAATAAATTGATCAAAAGTGTCAACAAAAGAAGCATGCATAGATATTGGAAATACCACTGCTGTCAACGAAACTCTGCAGTAGACGACAAGTCTCCACAAGTATCACAAAATCTCCCGAGTTTTGTGCCTTGAAAAAAAACAGAAACTGCCGGAGGAAACTTGAGCCTGGCTCAAAGCAATGTCTGGATGTAGAAAAACAATAGAGAAGTAATTAACCATAGAACCATTATAAGACCAAAAAAGACTGTAGCAAACATAATAGACCAAAGAAAAGTACCTATCGACATTCTGGCAATTATTCCCATAGGTTTCACAGAAATCATGCCGCACCTTCGAGCGCTCAATGGCCATTGATCGTCGACCTCTAAAGAATTTCTGCAGCCAAAAACCAATCAGCACCTTGCCCATCAGGAGCATAAAAGATTGAAACAAACTTTTCCTCTTAGCCACAACAAATGCACTTGTCCACATAAGAGAAGGGAAAAAACACTTTGAAGTGTTGCATTTGCAGTTCCAGCTAACATTTTGTAATGGCAATGGTTCAATCTTAACACCCAAAACAAAACCCACAAGACCTGTACCGCATGACACCGTAACAGGATAAATTTGTTCCAGAGGCTAAATCTAACGAGGACAATGGTGTTATGGAGATTTAGAAACAGCAAGTAGAAAGATTATTTAGCTCAAAGATTCTACCAAAATGAAACCTTTCTTGCAAAATGTTTGCTCTACATTGCTTAGAAAACACATAAAATCCCAGAGTCCCAAAAGAAAAGGCTTTTCAATAGGATTAAAAAATCGGTAACCTGAATTTTGAGAGCAGCAGAGTTCTGCTGCTTCTGTAGCAAGCGACGATTACGCTCCATTCTAGTCTGCTCCAGAAGCTTCCGAGCATCTCTTTCCTTGGTGCTCCGGCCACCTAAATCAACTCGCTTCCGAGTCGACGGATCGCCGGAGAAAAACATGTTCTTGAGCTAAACCTAGAATACCAATACACGATTCTCTGCCCGAAAACCTAAGATTACTGTTATTTCTTACTATCCGCTGCGATTGGAGCCAAAAGAAGCTAGGGATGTGATCGGCGTTATGCCCTAGAACTGGAGATAGATTCTTCAAAGGTGATAAAGAAAAATCAAGAATTTGGATGATTTGCGTGCAAAGGAAAAAACAAAAACAAAATCAAACAGAAGCTAAAATTTCTGTGAAGCAATTAAGAAAAGATAGTTTTCGGAAGCCGACTCTCAACGAAGACGGAAACTTCGTGAGTGGTGAGTTTAATACGACGCCGTTTCAGAGTCTTTTTGAGGAAGAAGAAGAATAATTGGGTCGTGTCGTGTTACACGGGAAACAAAAAAGGAAACTCTTTTTGATATCAATTTGAGTCTTTTGTTTGGTGATTTTTTCTCTTTTTTTTTTTTGTGATTTTCATTATGATGTACATATTGGTTAATTTTGTGTATAATAGCACATATACTATAGGACAGGGCTTAATGAAATCAAATATATTAAATCAAGAATAAAGCACCAAAATAATAAAATTGAATTGCAAAATTCGCATAGAAAATGTGGTCCGTCCTACTTTTGATTCCTAAGTTACCTTACCAACTACAAGAAGTTTCTTGTTAGCTTTTAGCCCAATTCATTGATATTACTAGAAGCCCAACTCATCTTCCTCATCGACACGTGAGCGGAAAATGTCAAGACGGTTATCTCCAAGGCCTAGTGAGTAAGCAAACTTCTTGTAGTCAGCCCATGTGAACGTCCGGTAAAGCCGTGGCTGATCTGCCGCCGTGACGATTGTCGGGAGAGGGCCTATCTTTGCATGGACGGACGGACCGGCAAAGTATGCCATCGATAGCCTGCTTGCATGTCCTGTAGTCACCGCCCTGTGTCGTACGCTTAGGAATCTCCCATTCGTCATTACCTAGAACAATTTGCAGCGATTAATATTTTAGTTATATTAGTTGTGGAAATTTATAGAATCTTATTAGATTCTTACATATTGACGATCATGCTTGGTCATATATATGTATGATGTATCATGTATCATAAAATAGTTGGATTAGTGCATTTTAAGTTTTTCATGTAAACTAACATATGCACTTGAAAACCTTTTAACAAAAATGCTAACATATACAGAATCAAATGGGTAATGAATATAGGGACTGACCTGCAAAAGATCGCCTACGTTTACGCAAAAAACAGAAGGGTCAGGGGAGACAGAGACCCATCTTCCGTCAGGGAATGCCACCTGGAGGCCCCCTACTCCGTTGGATCTGAGAACTGTCAAGATCTGAGGGTCTGTGTGCTCCCCGAAGCCAACTCTCGGTAATGACACAGACTTATCAGAGAGGTTGGCTCCACTAAGAAATTGATCGGACGATGGGTAGTGATTAAACCTAAGAACTGAGTCGCTATCAACGGCTCTGATTAATTTGCTGAAGGTATGAGGTGGGAGCCGAAGTCCTTCAGCCGTGAGATCTAAGATCTCACACGCCAACTGCTTAACTGCTTCTACGTAACAAGTCACTGCGGAGCTGGCAAACAGACATGTCATACATCACCAGTTGCTCATTATAAGATAAGAGAAATCATTGAAACCATAATCTATAACTTTTAGAATGAAATTAAACACGTTAGAGAGATTAATGAAACTTCAAAAGCATAACAGTTTCAGGAAGAAAATTTAGTTTTTGATTTAAGAGCATTTAAGTCTTTATTTTAGTAAAAATATTTTTTCATTGTTGATGTAAATCTGCATTATACACACTGCACACACAAGTACAACATGCATTGTGTAAGTGAAAAAAAAAGTTACCCATTCCCTGTCGAGTAGACAGACTGAGAAGCTGTACTTTTGAAATTTAATTTGCGGACTCAAATTTATTGTTTTCATAATATGTAAGAAAGACACCAACATAAAATTTAATTTGCTAAAAAAATATATGAAGTTTGGCTGAAAACAGAATTCCAATTCACTTGTAATTGTCAACTACATTTTATTATGGGTTGATTTATTAGCTTTACTTGTCGACTAGATCACACTGAAATCATCTTGTGGTTTTTTTTTAATTATGTTCTAGTACACTTTTAATTACATTACATGTATACATACAAACGCGAAAGAGAAAAAGAAAAAACATTCGAACGCATCTATTAGTATATTTAAGTATTTAACCATACACATGCATGCATGCAAATTTCGTATATATGGAAAGGTTCTCGCATTTATACACAAACAAAAAAAAACTGCATTTACATTAACTTATGTACGTATTAGATTATAAAATACATTGCTAAATGCAGAACTCATATGACAGATCTGTATATATTGATATATACATTGATTATAAAACATGAGTTCTGTATAAATCAATGTATTTTATTTTAACCAGATCTCTAAAGACAGTAGCCAATTAAGTATATATAGTAACGTACCCGAACTTGGTAGAATCGTTCCCAGACGATAACTGAGAAAGGAAGAGAGGATTAGTGTGAAGGAGCAAATACTCGACCTCCCCAATATCACCCTTGAGCCCAATGTCCTTCAACCCATAGCCAAAAGGCCGGTTCACCACCGGTCCGACAGATTTCTTCTCAAGAACCGGTTTAGCGAAGAAGTTTATGGACTCTTGCTCCATCCGGGAGATAACGTCCGGGTCAACGCCGTGGTTGACCACTTTGAAGAAACCAATGGACTCGCAAGCTTTAACTATCTGCATGGACACTCGTAACCTCTCTTGGGACATGTCTATCACGGGTATGTCTTGATCTAGGGCCACGATTTTCTGGGACTCCTTCACCATTTTAGGAGAGACAGAAGGAGAGATGGATAAGTTTAGAGAAATGAATTATGATAGCCAGAGAGAGATGAACGAATGCATGTGTGTTGCGGGATATATATATGGGATATAGAGAGAGAGAAGTATTTGATGTGACCATATAGTGGATTAGTGGGCTCACGTATATATATTTTGAAAGCTAAAGATGATTCATCTAAGCTCGACATGAATAGATAAAAGATACGTGTGTGTGTGTAGGCATACACATATTTACTGTGAAAGCTATACGTTAAAACAACCTTCTTCAATTTATTAAGTGAACAAGGATTTCAATCATATCCTCGTTTTGGGTAGGATTACAAAGGTTTATTGGGCATAATATTTTGAATGCTTGGTATGAAATAGTATTTAGGATCATATATTTCGATCTAGAGAATATATTGAGAGTTGGTCGATATGACGTAATCTGATTGAATATTGAGTCATTCTCCTACGTAATTCTAGTAGTTTGAATCCGAACGTGAGATTGGAGGACCAATAACAAACCATAAAAAAAAGACGACGGACATTATCAGACCCAAGCTCGGGGAACTACAAAAATATCGATACCCGCGTCCAAACTACCTCTGCAGACATTGGTTTAAAGTTGGGTGTTAAAAATAACACATTTAATTATCATCCTTCGCGTTCCCTCCAATTTAAATCAGATTGCAGTTTAGATATTAATCAGATTGATGTTGAATATGTTTGAATCTCTTGTTTTTCTGTCCTTAGAAAATATTATCATTAATTTAAAGCAACGTAATTACATATATACAGGAATGTAAGGATTAATCGGTTAGTATACTCATTCTACAAGTTCCTTAAATATATGTGTAATTTGGAATTCATAATGTTTGATGAAATAATAACATGTCCATCAAGGGAAGGGAGGAAGGCCCCTCCTACGTAATAGAAGCTCCATCACTAACAATTAACAAACCACTTAACATAAAGACAAATGCTTCTCGCAAGCTCCTAAGTTAGGAACTAACTATTGATTATCTATGATCCAGTTCTATATTAAATAGGTTTTCTTATCTTATATTTCACATAGTTAATATGTCTATATGTCTATATTTATATATACTTGCGTCTCTTGAATTATATGATTGGATGTTTTTTTTGTTATCAATTTGATTGGATGTTGCCATGTTGGCCGGCCTAACTTTCAATTCTCATCAAACATTTCCAGTTAATATCAGTCTCCAAAACAAAGGTGATTGAGCTATATAGGGGTGATATACAGACTTACAGTCAACAATCTGAAATAATTATGAAGTTTTTATTTATATGTTTATAAACAGTTTAAGATTTTATATTATAAGTTTTCATGTAGGCAATATCCATTAGTCAAAGTTTCTCCTAGCTAAGGAGCCTTTAAAAAGTTATTGAATTTTCTTTATTCTACTTATACCACTAATAAACAATATTTTTCATCAGTAAAAGTACTTAATCCATTGAACAAGGGATTTCACAAATATACTGAAAAACGATTAAATTGAGTGGCATAAAGGTAAGCCGGGCCAAATTTGGGTCATTGAAACTTTTGATGAAACGGGCCGAGAGAGCATATTTTATTTAAAAGATGAACGTATAAACAATGAGCCCAAAAAGGTTTTTCCGTTTTGAGTTAGTTTACTAAATTCATATAAGCATGGACACACACGTCGTCTACGTCAAACACGATGAAGATGGGAAACCATATTTTAAAATTTAATGTAACCATGAATGTATGATATGATTAGAAAAATAATTTTTTTGAAAACATCACAATCAACTTAATCTTATATCTTTATATAATCAACTAATTAGTTTCAAATTATTAACGTACAAACAAAAGTGGGAGTCACATGAAAAGGGTAAATTAGAAAAACAAGAAAGCCAAAAATTGTGGGGAAAAAGAACAATAATAAGAAGAAGAAAGAGTTGATGAGTGAGCCATGTTAAGATGTTACCCATTCTTAGTATAAAGTTTCAACATTTTGTCCCATCCTTCTTCTTCATGTCCCTTCCATTTATATACACGTTTCATGTATATGTATGTATATCTATATTAGTGGTACATTGATCATCATGATTAATTAGAACAAATGCTTTTTTAACCGAAAAAAACACATATGCGAAAAAAATATATATATATATATGCGGCGGATATGCCCTTTTTATCGATGGGTATAGTATGTAAACATATTATCGTTATTGGATGAATTACAGACCGATTTCGTAAGAACTTTGATTCACATCGAAAACGATCAATAGATGACTAGAACTAGCCAATTAGGGTAGCATTTCTGTTTTATGTAGAATTAGGATTTTAGGGATGATTAATCATTCGGGCTCTATAAAGTAAGATCAAAGCGTTAAATAGAGAAATCGACTCAAATAGTAAAGTAATATTTATACGGTTTGATGATAGATATAAAACCATATAGTAGATTTTACAAGTTTTGTTTAATTTTTGCACACTTGTAAAAGTTTAGAACTCTCCGATAGATAAACTAAACAAAACCTCTTTTACAAACTAGTGCAATATATTTATTTTATTCATATAGTATAATTTACTATTGGTGCAAAAGATACTTATTAGAACATCAATATTGAACTATAGAGGCCAGAGGGGGTCTTTTACCATCGTGTACCCAAATTAAAATTCCAAAAGGAAATCATTTTTTGTCTGCAAAAAATGACAAGACTTTTTAATGCAGTGTTTGGTACCGTTAGGAATAAAGGAGGTAAATAGCTAAATATGTTGCAAACCCCATTATTTAGTTTTTATTTATTTATTTCAATCGTCCACTTGCAGACACAATCATTTCGTGGTAGAACGTACCACCACCATAACATTATATATGTATTATAAGAAGCAAAATAAAAATGCCGAATTTATTTATCTGTAAAGTATCTTTAATTATTGGACATAATAATACAATTCGTTTTTTTTTGTATTGAAATTGTCTTAAAAGTCGAAGATGGCAATGATTAAACCAAAAATTGGCATTGATATTGGGAATTGATTTTGACCAAAGACTTTTCGACTAATTAATCTCTCCACCGTCCCACTAACAGAATTAAAGGGGCCGCTGACAAAATAGAAGCCAGTTTATTTAGCTGAAGACGAAAATTTTACTAATCTACTCAATAGCCAATACCAGTGTATTCTTTATGTGGAATCAAATTTAACAAGTTACATGTTTAATACTACTGTATTTAGCATATTTACAGCATGATAATTACCTATGTATCTTTAAAAAGAAAAATCAATTTCGATGATGATACAATTCAACTCATTTCTCCCTAACCCTAATACTCTAATGACCGGCCAAATTAAAACATGAAGAATAGGTTGGGCAAATGCCGCCATCATGTGACTCTTATCTAATCATGTACTTGTTACTATCATATAAAACCAGTTACAATAATCTGTTTTTCTCTAAGAAGAAACGTTCTTTTTGGTTTTAGTAAAATAGGAGTAGTATATATCATTGTGAACAAATTGTCAAAAGAAAATATCAGTTTTTTTTTTTTTTTTTTTTTTTTGCCATAAATACTGAAATTTACCCAGATTGACACAAATCTGGAAATTAATAACTAGATTAACACTCTAGTTTTGGAGTTTACTAGAATAACACAAATTTTGTGTTAAATTACTAAAAACCCTTTTGAATTGCTTGAAAAAAAAACTCAAACAGAAAAACAAAAAAAAAAACACAAAAACATTAACCATAATTTTTTTGTTTTATTTTAGACTTAAAGCTTCTTTTTTATCTGTTGAACCCGACAAACACAATCCCTAACTTTTTTCTCTGTTTCACCCGACTCCGACGAAGAGAAGAATCTGACTCCAATTGTCTTCGCCGTCTCCGACGAAGAGAAGAATCTGCACTTCACGTACTCCTTCACCGCCACTCTCACAGACGCCGCCGCAACTTGAGTACCTCCACTGCAGATTCGAGGAGAACCCGCCGCCAATTTTTCTGATTCTCCGGCGTCTTCGGCTACTTCCATGTCTTCCCGAAGTCTCCGGCGTTTCCCCTAAACCCTAATCTTCATTTGCCACCGCCGCTTGAGTCTCTGTGTTTCTGATTTGCAAGGTCGCGTCCTATAATCATCTATTCATTCGATTTTCCGGTGTAATCAGAGCTATTGGCCATCACCTTTACCGTTCTTCCTCCATCGACAACGTCTTTATGCTCAATTGACAATTGGTTAGTTTAATTTTTCACTGTTGAAATTATTTGTGTGAATTGCAATTTTGATTGATTCTCTAAAACCCTAACTTTTCATATTTTCTTAGGAGAACACGATCCGTTTCTTATTTCTTCGTGGCATCTCTCTTTGTAGGTTCAAGTTCAAGCAACAAGGAGCATCTTCTAATCGCTCTACTGGTAAGAACTTCTCTCTGGTCTTGGTTTGAAGTTGAGACTATGGCGTTTATATTATGCTTATTAGAGTTGTGCTTTGCGTTTTCAATCATCTAATTGTCATCCTCTACAGAGAACTTTGGGTCTTATTTTAGTGGAGTTGCTTTGCTTGAAGGAAGCCATAGACATTAGGAATTAGCTTGCTTTGAAATTCTTTCTTTTGTGTTGGAAACCAGTAACACTTGTGTGGAGTATGGATGTTGTGTGGATCTCTCTGTGTCTTTTATGGTCCTTGAGCAGAATTTGTTTTGTTCTTCTCTGTCTATGAATTGTCTTTTGCTTGCTTATCTTCAGCTAGAATAATGTTAACTTGAGTCTATGACTTCTCTGGTCTTGGTTTGAACTTGAGACTATGTCGTTTATATTATGCTTATTAGAGTTGTGCTTTGCCTTTTATTGTGTTCTGACATTCTTTCTAGAGAACTTTGGGTAGGAGTTGATGAAATGCATAGATATTAGTGCTTTCGTACCTATCAACATGTTTTTGCGGTTGATGATCCCTGCCATGATGAGTGCTTTCGTACCTATCAACATACGTAAGAAGAGTAATGCAATGTTGGACGTGAAAAAGATTACAAAGAATGTACCTTTGAATAAAGATCCCGGCGATTGTGCTATCTACACACTCAAATACATCGAGTGTTTGGCTCTTGGGAAATCATTCGATGGGCTTTGCGATGAAAACATAAATGCCATACGTGTTAAACTTGCAGCGGAGCTATTTGATGAAGTGAGAGAGGCAGCCAAACCATCTAATCTTGATCTTTGTGGTGTAGGTTTCAAGATCCCTAGTCTCATGGACGAGTCCATCGAATGAGTGACTTTGATTTATGTAATCTCGTACTTATAGGTCTTTTGTTCTTTATTTCTAGGATTTAAAACAGTGTCACCTTGTTTCAGACTTTTTCATGCTTATTTTCAGACTTTTAGTGCTTCTGTATTGATTTATACAGAAATAACGGGGGATCTAGACTTTTGCCATCATTCAGCCTTGTCAATTACCTTACCAACGTTCCATACTTTTAATATCTTCAAAAAACTATCAAGAGCAGATG